CAGAGGAAAATAATAAAACAGAAAAAGGAGCATAAATCCATTATTTTTATTATAATATGTCAAGAGAGCCAAAAATCCGCTCACAGCTCTGGAGATTCTGATCTGATGGAGACCCTTTTTTTAGAGCAGCTGAAGCTAAAGGTAGAGCACATTAACCTCAAAACCATTGTGAAAAAAAGCCCGTAAATAAAAAAAAATATATATATACATCTGTGCAAGGGAACATAACGTTTTCTGCACCGATGCAAATCATCTTAAAAAACTGATTTGGTATTATGACTTCAGTAGAGGGGCCACAACAGGAGCCAGTGTCAGTTCCACAGGGGCACTGGCCCCTATTGGCTCCTGTCTAGAACTACCCCTGCTCTGACTAACTTAAACATCTTCATAAAGTCTTCTGCTTTAAATCTGGTCTAGTAGACACATTTGGGACCAAAGGGCATAGTGGGAACTAAAGTCGATTGCCTTCCTGATTGGTATTGTGGTTTTCATGATGTCCTCAGAGTAGCTTTGCCTCGTCTGTTCCTGTTTGGCTGTGACTCCATCCTGGAGAGAAACATTAGCTGTGCTGCTTCCATCAACACCCTTGTTTATAGATGCTGGAGATCGGCCTGTTTTACCAGTGTGGTCCTGTTTCTCTGACCGTGACTGGCTGGATGTGCTCTCTTCGTCCTCTGGCATGGGAGCTGGCTCGGAGCTCGTCTGCCTGGCTGTGTGTTTCCTGGAAGGGCCGCCTTTTACAGTTGCTTTTTGTATCTCTGCTTCTGTCTCCTTGAACCTCAGTCGGCCTCAGCAGATGGCCGCTCACACTGAGCCTGGTTCTGCTGGAGGTTTCTTCCTGTTAAAAGGGAGTTTTTCCTCTCCACTGTCGCTACAAGCATGCTTAGTGTGAGGGATTGTATTTGAGTCAATGCAATCAACTGGTTTTCCTTAGATAGAAAACTTTGCATCAATTTGACCGTATGATCTGGTTGAACTGTTAAGTGCCTTGAGATGACATGTGTTGTGAATTTGAATTGAATTAATGTAGAATAAGTTGAACCAGAACTTCATCAATCCTATCAAGCTAATCCGATACAATACAATCCTCCTCATCTATTGACAGATTTATTTGGACCTTCTACAATCTAGTTGGTCTCACAATAACTCAGACATGATGACTTAACCCAGCCTTCTTTAACTTTAAGATTTTTATCAATATATTTTATCAATTACTATATTAACAGGACTTTTCAGGACTAGATTGCACACTACGGAGATGTGTGGAAGCAGAGAAACTTCTAAAAGGTGCAGAACTCTAAACCTCAAGCACCAGAATTGAAAAACCCATTAAGAGCTCACTAAGCCATGCAATCATCATCTGAGAGTCTCCTAAATGTGTTTCAAAGCAGAGCGATCTTAACTCGTAAATCAATTTAGAGCTAAAAGAAACAATTTAGCTGATCCTAGTTTAAATAAAACAGAGAAAGTTTAGTGATTTGATGTCAGACTGATAGAGACGGTTATGGCTTTTGCTGCAGCACATGTTTATATCCGGTTTCAGCTGTGGATATGTGATGTTAATGTGTGAAAAACTGCAGATTGATATTCGGAAAAGATGAGAATTTGACACGGAGCGTTGAACAATGCACAGGTGAGAATCAGACAGTCTTAAGGGGATTTATTAAGGCTCTGGTTTCAGTTTGCTTTTCTGGGAAAAGCTTATCTGGAGCAGATCCAAGAAGGCGGGGACCGTCCTGGACAACTTAATTGCAGATAATTCTGGAGTTTTAACAGGTCTTCTAAAGGTGATGCTCTTTGTTCAGTGTGGGATTATCAACATATTGAATGTGAGGTATAGAACTTGTGATATACCTGCTATATACCTATATTATATGTCCCTGAATGAACATCAGGTATGCTAACATAATCAAGTGGGATTCAGCATGTCATGTGCTGATCATCAACAGCCATTTCTTTCATGTTAGAGCTCTTTCCCTTATGAGCCTGGGAAGGCTGCAGGTTTAGAAAAAAAAATGATACATGAAGTTGGACATCCAAATATTTCATTTAAAAGGAAATAGAACATTGTGTTCTTAAGCAAAACATATGTCAACAATCAGATGAATTTGAGGACAGGAATAATAACATTTCCCACTTGTTTTTTCCTGTAGAACCAGTGATTTTCCACTGGTGGTTTTGTGATGGACTTGGAAAAGGAACATGAAGTTAGTGACATCTAGTGGTCATTCTCTGAAAATACAATTCGTCTCCCAAAAATACTTATGATACTGAAAGCTCTGCTGTGAAGCAATGAGAAATGTTATGCTGCATGTAAAAAAACATCTGGTTGCTTTCACAAAAATATGAAAGTATTTAAAATAAAAGTAATACAGTATGAATAGTAAAATAATTGTAGCTTTTATCAACAATAACCACCTTTTTATTCATACCAGTAAAAATAAGAAAATAGGGGCACAAACATCTGGACTAAACTGTTGTCTAAACTATGAAAAACATAAATAAATAGCATAGCTGCCATTATGGATCCAGTAGCTCTACTTCTGTGTAAATAAGAGCTGCGATGATCTTATGGGAACCAAACATGTCCGAATGAATGAAGACCCACATTAGAAAATCTGAATTTAACATTTACAGGAAGTAAGTTCAGCCACATAACAAAGAATTAAAAATGTACAATGACCATAGGAAAAAATGCTTAAATCTCAAGCATTGTTTAGCTTTAACAAATATAATGTTCAAATGATTTAGGGTTTTCACCATTTCTTTTTCAACAATAAAAGTAATATTTTTCTCTTAAGCCATTAACCCTAATTACATATATATAAAGCATAAAGGCCCATGATAAAACACTGAGTGACTGTCTGCTGGTAAATATATGGAAGAGGATTAGGGCCACTGAAAAAAAAAAAAGTTAGCTGATTTTTTAATTTTATCTCAGTTTAATATGTGGAAGAATACTTTTTTTCTCAGAATTCTGACTTTTTTCTCAGAGTTCTAACTTTAATCTCAGAATTCTGACTTAAATCTCAGAATTCTGACTTTTTTCTCAGAATTCTGACAGCTAACAAACATGTTAGCATCAAGCCATAGCCATGTCTGTTTTAGAGACTAGCTCAGACATGGGCAAACTACGGCCCCCGGGTTAGGCTTTTTAATCCGGCCCGCCGAACTTGTCCAAATTACCGTATTTTCATGACTATAAGGCGCACATAAACGTCTTTTTTTCCCTCAAAATGTGCGGTGCGCCCTTTGGTGCGGTGCGCCCTTTGGTGCGGTGCGCCCTATGTGTGTTGTAACTGCTACTTTTGAGACCATCATTTGCACCTTCAATTGTCTGGTTTTTTTTATACATTTCAATCCCCAGGTTTAATAAATTACGTTGCTTGTCCAAATGCTCCTGGCCCGGCCCTTCTGTCAAATTTTAGAACCCATTCTGGCCCGCAAGTCAAAAAGTTTGCCCACCCCTGGACTAGCTCTCTTGTTTTAATGACCTTCTGCTCCTCCATTAATGAGGGGACCCCTCGGGCACGTAAAAAGTTGCCTTATTTCTTCATTTTTCACCAATGTGTCACTGGCCACCTCAAACAACTCACATCTTTGTCAGTGAAGCTGAGTGCTCCACATCTCTTCCTTCATGGTGCCCATTTACATTAAGATCCAAAATTCTGAGATTTAAGTCAGAATTCTGACTTAAATCTCAGAATTCTGACTTTTTTCTCAGAATTCTGACAGCTAACAAACATGTTAGCATCAGGCCGTAGCCATGCCTGTTTTAGAGACTAGCTCTCTTGTTTTAATGACCTTCTGCTCCTCCATTAATGAGGGGACCCCTCGGGCACGTAAAAAGTTGCCTAATTACGTAATTTTCCACCAATGTGTCACTGGCCACCTCAAACAACTCACATCTTTGTCAGTAAAGCTGAGTGCTCCCACATCTCTGCCTTCATGATGCCCATCTACATTAAGCTCCAAAATTCAGAGATTAAAGTCAGAATTCTGAGAAAAAAAGTCAGAATTCTGACTTTTTTCCCATACTAAACTGAAATAAAATTTAAAAATCAGTTAACTTTTTTTTTTTTTTCCCTAATCCTCTTCTGTATAAATATGAGCTATTATTGTGATGTACATCATTTCCTGAAGGTAGACTGAGCATCTAGTTTTAAAGAGCGACTCAACAGCGCCCCCTAGAGCTTCCCTTAACCTGGAAAAAAAAATTTGGTATAAATGGTTTTTCAGTTGGAACAAAGAGTTCTGCCATAAACTTACCAGAACCATTATATCTGTTTGCCTCAAAACCAGCATCTTCAAGGCTTTTTTTTTTTTATTTACACAAACATATTTTTGTCTCTGTGCACTCCTGAGGCAATGAAGATTTATAGTTGACACTTGACCTATTGTCCAGGGGTTTCATGTTTCCAGATCTGAAAGTTTGACTATGAAAGACACAAATGTTACAATCCGCTGACTGAAAGTTAGACAAGTTTCACAAGGTTACCTCAGAACTGGTCCCTAAAAGCTTAAAATGTTCCAATTCTCAAATTCTTAAGTTATTATTTTATACTGTTTACTTTTCCATGACATTTTCTTCTAATATTAAATACAGATTTAACGTAGTTCTGAAGTGGATTCAGTGTAGTCTTTGTAAAAATCTAACCAGCTAACTAAACTAATTAAAGTTCAATTAGCTTTAGTATTTAATAATTAATTAAATTAAATATTAAATACTGCCCTGAGTGGCTGACAGTAAAATGTGCAGCCAGAAAAAAAGCTATTCATACTTCTAATTTACACTTTGGGCAAGTTTTAAAATAGCAGTGAATAATCCAAAAGTCACAAGTTGAAACACTTTCTTCCATAAACTAAAGAAAGCTTTGCTGTACGTTCAATTTTGCTCAGTTTGACTGTGTGTGTAACTTAGTTTACAACCTTTGCAAACAGCTGGTTAACCAGGTCAGTGGGAGGTAAGGGGGGCCTGGCTGTGAAGATATCCCCGTTGCTGCTGACTTGCAGGATAGATGCTGACCCAGAGACGACTGCTGCCAAACTCCGCCCGTAAGGACATCTTTCCCAGAGTTATTCAAGACCCTGAGCTAGAGTGTCTGTGGCATCTCTGGGACCTGGCCTGCTTGGAGTGAGAACGCACTGTAAGACATGTTCAACCTTTAAAAATGATGTAAACATATATCCATTTTGATTACAATGAATCGTACATTTATATTAAGCTTTTGATATTAGATGTCATTCTGTTAAAGGGTGTTTTTTCCTGATCCTACAGATGTCTAAAGGGACAGTTGCTGGGAAAAGAAGTAAAAAGAAACCTCAAGTAAGAATCTGTGTCACTCATTCTCTATCTGATGGACATAATGTGAGTAACTCTGACAATCTGAAGAGCCAAACTTCATTCGGGACTGCATGTACTGATGAAGACTTGCTTGCTGAGAGCTTTGAAAATGGAGTTCTTTATCTCAATCCTCAAACACCAGACTGGTCTCTTGTGGAGAGGTTTGCTGAGCTTTCATCAGAGGAAGAGGTAGAAGTCCCCATGAAGCAAGTCCACAGTGGATCCATGTCACCATGTTCAATACATACTGTGACCAAAGGAGGACTCAGAAAAAGCCCCTCAGCAAATAATTCACCTAAAAAACGTAAAGATGAAAAAGTCCCACGACTTTTGGCTGCCATGAAAAGACGGAGTCCATTGAACATTGAGGAGCGTCCCTTCAAATGCACTCGCTGCCACTGGGCTTTCAAAAAGTTCTGCAACCTCCAGAGCCACTTACAAACTCACTCTGGCCTTAAGCCACATGTGTGTGACATATGTGGAAAGGCTTACTCACATCAGGGTACGCTGCAGCAGCACAAGCGTTTGCACACTGGGGAAAGACCATACGGCTGTCCCTTCTGTGACAAAACGTACATCTGGTCCTCGGATTACCGCAAGCACATCCGCACACACACGGGCGAGAAACCGTACATCTGTGAAACCTGCGGAAAGGATTTTATCCGCTCCTCTGATCTGCGAAAGCACGAGCGGAACATGCACACCAACAACAAGCCTTTCCCATGCACACACTGTGGCAAGACCTTCAACAAACCTCTCTCCCTGAAACGCCACGAGAGGAAGCATCTCGGGGAAAGACCCTTCTCCTGTCCCGACTGTGGGAAAACCTTCGCTCTGGCCAGCCGCATGGTGGAGCACCAGAAAATCCACATGGGAGTACGTCCGTTTGTTTGCTCCGTGTGCTCCAAGTGTTTCACGAAATCCTCCAACCTGACAGAGCACAAAGCCATCCACAGCGGAGTCCGGCCTCACAAGTGTGGGGAGTGCGGTGTGGCATTTGCCATGGCTTCCCGCCTGGTACGCCACCAATTCATTCACAACAACCAGAAGCCACACAGCTGCACCGGCTGCAGCAAGAACTTCAGCCAGGTCACACAGCTGAAGCTCCACCAGGAGCAAGCGTGCGCTGGGAGGATCTTTGTCTGCGTAGAGTGCTACAAATCTTTCCAGTGTGCCGCAAAACTTGAACAGCATGTGATGGAACACAAAGAGGAAAAACTGTGACCCTGATTGACAGACGCTGTTATTTGTGTTGACCCCTGGGTCAGAAACGTTGCTAGATGTTGGCTGACCTCAGATTGGCATCGTAAGATTGAAATGTTTTTAAAGGTTAGTGCTATGCAGACAGTGGATGGAACACAGCTTCTTTTCGTTTTGCCTTCTTCCTTTAAATTAAAGATAACTCTAGTCACTATAACAAGACATTTTTGAAATGATAGCTGAATTTATAATTTAGAATAAACTGCTAATATTACATTTATTATGCAGAAAGGAAACCAATCTGGGAGCAAAAGCCACTACTGGACCATCAATTAGTCTTTTTTTATTGCTGTGGAGGAATTCAAGGCCTTTTTTGTTTTTTCTTCACATAGATTTGTGTCTCTGCCAGTAATGTCTCACAGCATAATTCCTGTTTTTATGGAGTATTTTCACTGCCATCAAGGGACTGGTGAAGAGTTCAGCATCTGAAGCTGATTAGAAACTAGACTTTGACAGGATCCTTCCTTTTTTTGTTATTTTACTGAGTAATTTATAGAGTGTTTGCAAGTGGCCATTGGTAATATTGTATGGTTTTTATAACCAAAGTGTGATTGTAACTCAAGGTCATTATCTGACGGCCAAATGTATTCTTCAGTAAAAAGAGGAATAGAATAGAATAAAGTAGAATAGAAATTTATTTCAGACAATTTTCAATTTCAGACAGACAAGGGCGTAGGTTTGATTTCGACTTTGGTAGGGACAGTATTGGTCTTAAGTTTCATTAATGTCATTTTACCTAATGCACCTAATGCAAAAATATGCATGCTTGTTTTATGCTTGACATGAGCATCAGGGTGCATTTCGTTTAAAGAGAAAAGCAGCATTTCTTGCTACATTTATGCTAATTTTATAAGCACTACACATACTAGATGCTGTTTATCGATGTTTGAAGCATCACTGGCTCTGATGAATGAGAAATTAGAACTTTTTTCCACTTTGAAAAGGTTTGCATTTAAAATTACCAGTGACTAAGAAAGTGGGTAAATATGTGCCAACTTAACCAAATATAGTCTAAATATGCCCGTTATATGTGGATTTATCCTGCATTTTCTTTTGAAGATATATAATTGTGCAAAGGTAAACAGGTGAAACACTCTTATTTTTTAAATGCTCTCTGTATCATGAAACAACGCAAAATAACACATTCAAGGGACGCAAATACATTTATTGTATTTACAATTAGTGGCATCATCTACAAAACACAACACTAAGAATGAGACTAAATTTATTTCAATATAAAATCACTTTTAACAATTATTAAAAGAAAATGTAAAAACCATGTTCTCTGTAATGTAATAATTTTCAAAATAAACAGCATTTTTACTAAACATTAATGTTTGTACTAATTAACTTATGGACTGTGGAATTTCTATGTAAAATAAAATCAATGTAAATAGTTTCCCTCTGTTTGTTATTGGCTTTATCCTATTTTTAAAAGTAGAAATAGTCAAATAAATAGTAACCGTGGAACCGTAATAATGCTTTCTAAACAAAAAATATCAGATGTTTAGGCACCATCTCGTGTTGTTATATAAATAACACCTGCTATTTAAAACTGAACTTCCTGAAAGAGTTGTCATAAAATGAAACCAGTAATTGCATTGAAGTATTGTTAAAAGGGAAACCCTCACATTTTCTTTTTCAGTTTACTGTGGCTAAGAATCAGCAATCAGCAGCTTTCACCTGTTTAAGTGTAGATAGAATTGAGTTTTTTTTTTTCATTTGGACTAATTATGTAGCCTAATATTAATTGAACAAACCTATGGTCCCTATGCAAACCTACTCCCATGCAGACAGACAATTTGACAAACATCAATAAATGAATCCATCAAATAAACACAAAAAAGACCAGTAAACATCAATTCCCAAACTTACTAAATTCACCTGAACATAAATAGAAAATCCACCAGATAAACCTGTCGATATATATATACAGTATACAGCCAGAGAACTAACATTGATTAAATTAAAGATTTGAACGACCTGACAGAGAAAAATATTATCTCCTTCTACAAAGCTCTACTCTTGTCCTCCAGTCGAGCTCTACAGCTTTAATATAGCTTTATAACCCATTCTAAAGCTATATAACTGGCCACTTAGTTTCTAAAATTGTATAGAATTTCTTCCAGCCGACCACAATCGAGGGAGCCGGGTAAGCAGCATCAGTGCAGAAAGCTGACCCTGTAGAACTTTACTTGTTTTGTGACATTTTTTAGCCTTTTTCATGTTGTTAGGTTCTAATTCTGCAATTTCTTGATCCTGGAATTGTGGTGATAATAAGGCGGAATTAGAATAAAATCTTATCAATTAAACAAAGAAGAGCCAGGTGGATTTAGTCTGCCTTCCTCTTTCTATAAATCCATTCAAAAAATGCTTCTTTACATGATTCTTTATTCAAACATTAAAGTTTTAAGATGATCTAAAACAATTGAGAGAGGGAAAAAAAGGCACATTAGAAAATATGACGCAAGTGAACTCTACCAAACTCTTTTCCAAGTGCGGTAGAAGTGAATACGCTTTTGTATTTATAATTACACTTAGCTGCAACTTCACACAATCTTCCCCCAACGCAGCTGAGTTCCCATGAGAATATTGAAGGCTAAAAATTTCCACCAACACAGCCCTGATATCGGAGCTGACAGTGATACCAATCCAGCTACGGATGTGTTAGGCTGTTATTTATGCGAGAATCTAAATGTAACCAATAATACACATTGCTCTGACTCTGCAGTTTAACTAATCAGTGAAGTAGCACCAGCTGACAGATGGGGTTAGCTTGACTTAAGCATGGTATTACTTCAATTTCCTGCATCTAAAGCTTTACAGGAACAAAACTCTTCACTGTTTACTCTAGTGTATGTAGCAAAGTCAAACATATAGAGTAGATATCTTTAGTTTATGATGTCTTGATTGTGTTAAGTCAGTTTAAATAGCGGTTCTTTTAAGCTTCCATAAATATTGCTGATCAGCCATGACGCTAAAAAGATTATCCTTTGTTACATAGCTACGGTAGCTGTAGGGTACAAATGCCTTGCAAATCCTGAATGTTCAGGGAAAACAAAAAGTTCTGTAAATTTTAAAATAACACACAAAAAGTGGACTAATCCACAAAACAAAAATAGAGATGCAAATGGAAAATGCAGGCAGCAAAATCATCTGCAAGTTACTAAAAGCTGCAAACAGGCTCTGCATAACAGATCTGCTCCAGACTTTTAGTAAAGAGATAAATCGGATTTTCAGAGAGATTAAGTGTAAAAGATTCAATAGAAAACTCCTTCCAAAGCTGGCATATTGTTGCTTTTAGCTCCTACCCCTTTACATTCTGCAGAGGCAACAGTAAAAATGCTATCCAGTGTGGGAAAGGAAAGAAACTCTGGACTGCTGTGCGGAATCCGGACAGCCTTCAGACTCAGAGACGTCATTATTGGGACCACAGCCTTTAAAAAAAAGTACTACATAAAAAAAGTTACACAAATGAAGCAAAGAGCTGAAGTGCTGCAAATATAAAACCCAAAACTTATAAAGGTGTGTAGATTACAATGTGTTACACAGAGTTCATGTCATGAAACAATGTAACCTCATAGCTCCTATATGGCACAGAGGAACGTCAGGAGCTCCCTATGCTAAATAAACTATCGATAGGAAGCATCCTGCTTCCTCTTCCTAGATCCTTCCTTACTACTGGCACTATTTGGCTAACTTAGGTTGTTTTTGTTATTTGCAACATCTTTACATCTTTTCATGTGGTTGTGTTTTACCATCATTTATGTGTTTGCAGCATGTTTGCACTTTCCTGCTCTCTGTATTTTGTAATTGCAGCATTTCTTCTTTACATGTGTTTTGTTTGTTAGTCTCATTCTTTGCATTTACAGTATTTTTGTATTTGCTGCACATTATTATTGTAGTAATTATTATTAATATTAGAAGCACCATTAATATACTGGTATATATCAGTGTGGGATGAAGAAGTTGTTTGAATAAGAGAGAATTTCTACCTCTTGGCTATGTTTAACTTTAAAAGTACAAAAAAAAAAAAAAAAATATGTACAGTATCTTACTCTAATATAGTTTTACAAGCTCTTAGATCCACTGGATCTTTAGAACAAGAAAAAATGTTTTTCTCATTAAATCAATTCTTTTGTTTTTTTTCATGTAATCATCTTATTTTACAGCAATTACTTTTATTCTCTTTAAATGTTGTTGCCCCTATGCCACTTAAATGTACTTATCCTTTTCTACTTATGTAGAGTACTATGAATGACCTTGCCACTAAAATTTGCTACAGAAATAAACTTACTTTGCCTTTAATGAGGAATCTTTCTTACAATTATGATCAACTCGCACCAGCTCAGAATGGACATATAGTTTGCAAAAACAAATTAAAAACACTTAAATGTTGAGGGAGTGGCAGCCTAGTGAGGTTCTGAGTTTAAACCCCACTCCCACAGACTGCCACTCTGCTCCCTGGGGGCCTCACAATGGCAGCCCACTGCTACCCAAAGGGATGGGTTAAATGCAGAGAGTTCATCTCACTGCAGTTTGACCATTAGATGTCCATTAAAATTACACATTGTAGTTTTAATTGGATCCTGAACAATTTGTTGCTTTTTTGGAATTAATTTCAGTTATAGGGAAAAAAATAAGAAGGTGAACTTCAAATAGGAACTGGTGATGTCACCGAACTACATCAAATGTATCATTCATTTAAAGGACTTATTAGAATTTATGTAAAAGGGAAATTGCTTCATATTTAGTAGGCTAATTGGAATTCTTTAACTGTCTGGGGGCTTTTTGAAATGCTTTTTCATAAATCCATCCACTGCTTAATGTGCTAAAGCTGTGACACATAACTGGCAGCCGGTCACATGCATGCTCTATGTGTGCGTTGCATTCCTTGGCCTATCTCACTTGGCTTCTGCAGACTAATAGGAAAAGGAGACGCCACCTGCCATGTTGTCACCCGCTCTGTGCAAAGTGAGAGGTCCACTTGGCATTACTGTTAGTTTGTAGCTCTATTGAACCGTGACTGTATGACGTTAAATAATTGAAAGCCAATAATTTGATTATTCTTAATGTTGCTGAGAGGGAAATAATTTTTATTGAACGTATGTGCAGCAGGCATGAATATACTTCAACCCCATTGCTTTAAGCAATACTAAAGATGTTTCACTTCTGGTCAATTTTGGCTCCCCCGGTGGACAAAATCTGTATTACTTTGCCTGAGGGAAGAAAACAATTTCTATGAGGACCAAAATGTTAAAGGGACACTATGCAACATTTTTCAGTTAATTAATGTGTTCCATAACGTTATGGATGACTAAATGAGTCATTTCAGGTTGAACAAAGGTATTCTCGGCCGCCCTGGTGGTCTGTGGGGGAAATACCGCACTTGCAACTGCAGGAGCACCGACCCGCACCCACAGGCTCAGAAGTCTCGTGAGAGTCGGTCTTGCTTTACGGCGAGAACTGCTACACGCCCCCAGTTAAAAGCATTCTCGTTGCTAGCACAGTGGCGATCTTTGTGCAGTTATGCTACGTTCACGCAGCAAAAGCAGCAAAATCGCGTCTGCTGATTCCTTTTTGCTGCTTGTACCAGTTAGTTCTGACGCGTGGCTGAAGCAGCTTTGCTGCTCTGGCTGCGCGGTGCAAAAGTCGTTCTGACGCGCGTTGGGCGGAGCTTCACTATCCTTTCTCTGCCTTGCAGCTATATTTGCTGTGATCAGTGGGAATAAAGTAGTTTTAATATGTGTTTAAGTGAGAAAATACACCTGAAAACGTAATCAGTGCAGTCAGTTCATTCAGATTATTATCCTGCCTTCAATATTTTTTCTGTCGGAGCCGCTCAGACCCCCACATACCAGCGGGGCGCCGACAGTATGGATCCCTTCATCAGCAGCGGTTCACCGCGGCAGCTGGTAGGTGTTTTTCATCTAAATAATCCAAACTGCATATTCTGCCGGCAGATTTCTGCATTTTAAGTTAATTTAGGCGTCAATAAACTGTTTAAGAGGAGAGAGATCATCAGCGCTGTGTCTCTCTCCCTGCGTTAAACGCACCCGACGCGCTGCTTCAGCTGCTCAGACGTGCTGCGCCTGCTGCTCAAAACGCGCCGCGGGACCTTTTGCTGCGCCTTGACGCGCGTCAACCATTGACTTTGCATGTAAACTCGCTGCTTCTGTCGCGCCAGCTACGTCCAGTGTGAACGCAGCGTTAGTCATTCGCTGCTAAGCTCAAAACAACCGCGCCTGGCTTGACGGAGAAACCAGGAGAACAGCTGAGCATATTTACGACAGTGCACTTTTACTTTCGCCCTCTGGAGGGAGCCTCACTGGAAAATCAACACCGGTTGCATAGTGTACCTTTAAGGACTATAGCAGTAAAATCCTGATCTCCTGGTCGTCAGTTCGATTGAACTACATTAATGTTTCCAGTGGCGTTGAGAAAGATGAATAGCAATGAGCTAAAGAATCCAATCATATGTTGAAAATAAGGCCATGAGAAAGGGGTCACTCAAATAGTTGTAGGTCAACTTATAATCACAAAAGATATAAAAAATATTAGCTGAAGTTTGAAAAGTTATTTAGTGTCGGTAAAACTTTAAAGCTCTCAATAGTATACATAAATTTTTACAAGATAAATAATAAAATAGTGATGTTTTTGGCTATACAGGCTTGTATACAACAAACAGCTTAAAACTGTGAATAACCACAGTAAATACAGCATTAAATAAATAGGTGTAAATATTTAATGAAATAAAAAAATTACCATAAAATTTTTTAAAAGTAAATAAATTAACGTACCATAAAATAATTCAATATATCACTTAGTTTATCTAATACATCATTGAATAAATATATGTACCATTATATGATGAAATATGTAAAATTGAATTATTAAATATGCTAATAGATAATTAGGAATACCTTTAAAATTATGACATTAAATATTAATTGTATTTTTTTAATAAAGCATTTTAATAAATGTAAATTTTGATTCAATAGAGTTTATTGATATAACACAGGTACACATCAAAATTAATCTAAAGGTACTTTACAGAAACAATTCAGTCAGATTATCGGGTCAGATTGCTGAAAATCTCAAGGATGAAGAAAAGATGAGAAATAAAATCCAGGAAGTTCCCTCATCTTATCTATTTACACCTATATATTTTGTGCTATACTTATTTATTTTTATTTTGGGTGCATTTTGTAAGTATAATACTGAAAAAGACAGCCTGGACTGTCTTCAAAGCACTAAGACGATCATACTGGACAGTTATAATATCAGGTAGAAAAGATTTTTTGGCAGTTGCTGTTATAAAAAAAAACAAAAAACACTGGAACTTTTCTTCTAAACATTCAAAAGGCTAAAATATCAGATACAGCAGGATGGGTTTGCACAATCAGAACCGTAAAGTAGTGTGTAAAAGTCATTAAAGTTGGCTTCCAGCTTCTTTGCCAGTGATACCGTCCTGCATCCCGTGGTACTTTCCCCACAGTCAGCTTTCAGGAAGCATGCCTCAGCTGTGCAATATGAGTGGCTGGTATTTCTGTGCCTTGCATGCAGCGCGGTGGTGATTCAGCTGTAGGAGTCTGAAAGAAAAATGCAAGTTAGCAGTTCTTACTGGTGCCACCCCGTGCTCAATCATTGAATAAACGTGAACTTTTAAGGATCCAAATCCTCATTTCGGCTTGAGAGTAACTAACCCTACACATTCAGGCAGGGATGATTCTGATATACGGTGTTAATGGAACAAAATGTGTTTATAGTTTACCTGTTATGGAGTTATGCGGCATTTACTACCTTGGCTGCTGGCCTGTGACAAAAACATGAGGATTAACAGAAACCCTGCTACTTTTATACAGGTGGATAACGATTAAATGACGTTAGCAGAAGCTAAAAGTCTGCAGTGCTTCAAATTTCAGTGATTAAAACCTGCAGGCTGCATGTCATAATTAGAACCAAACACTTTTCAAGCTGCTGTTGATCTGGAAGTTGTGCTGAGGGGATAGAGCTCACACTCTGAGGGGCTCAGCAGCCTGATGCCTCTGAAAATGCAAAACATTTTAGCAGCCAATGGCCGGCAGTGTTGGAACTAACTGTGCCTTGTGTAACGAGCCAGGACTTCAGATCTCATTTCATTGGGCAAACATTATGAAGCAATAGGGGAAAAGGAAACGTTTAACATTTTTTACAAATAAAATGCAGATTGTTGTCTGTGTTTAGGCCTTCTGAGACTCTATCACCTTTTACTGCATCTACAACTGGAAGTCTTTCTGTTACATTACTGCTTTTTTCACACTTTTAGAGCGAAATGTTAGCAAATCTTGCAAGTTGGTCACAATAAATGGTAATGATTGACATGCCTTGCTCAGATCGGTAAGGCAGGCACTGGGCCGCCGTTGTCCAGGCTACCGTCACCGGATCGGGTTCTGTCGCTCTGGCTCCCTGTTTCGACTACCTGCTGCACTGTAGTCGACTCTAATGCTACGTTCACACCGGACGCAGCAGGCACAGCAGAAGCAGCGAGTTTACACGCAAAGTCAATGGTTGACGCGCGTCAAGGCGCAGCAAAAGGTCCCGCGGTGCGTTTTGAGCAGCAGGCGCAGCGCGTCTGAGCGCAAAAGCGCTGCTGCTCGAGATCGAAAAATTGAACTTTTGCTGCTCAACGCGCCGCATCAACCAATCAGAGAAGCTGATCTGGGAGCTGGCAGGGAGAGTGACACATCGCTGATGATACAGAGCGCTGTGATCGCTCCTCTGAAACTGTTTATTAAGGCCTAAATTAACTTAAAATGCAGAAACCTGCCGACAGAATATGTTCGCTTTTATTATTCTGGTGCCTGCAGATCGGATTATTTAGATGAAAAACACCTACCAGCTGCCGCGGTGAACCGCGAGGAGGCGACCCGCCCAGAGGCTGCTGTTGAAGGGATTCCTACTGTCGGCGCACCGCCGGTATGTGGGGCTCTGAGCGGCTCCGACAGAAATAATACTGGAAGTCGGGATGGTAATCTGGATGAACTGACTGCACTGATTAAGTTTTCAGGTGGATTTTCTCACTTAAAAACAGATTAAAACTACTTTATTCCCACTGATCACAGTAAATATAGCTGCAAGGCAGAGAAAGGATAGTGAAGCTCCGCCCAACGCGCGTCAGACCCACTTTTGCACCACGCAGAAAGAGCAGCAAAGCTGCTTCAGCCGCGCGTCAGAACTAACTGGTACAAGCAGCAAAAATAAAGCTGTGATCAGACGCGATTTTGCTGCTCCTGCTGCGTCTGGTGTGAACATAGCATAAATCCCGGACGATTGCAAAATTCCACCCGGACATTTTTTTAGGTATGAAAAGTAGAACATGTCCGGGAAAAGAAGGACATCTGGTCACCCTCCCATATCAACAATTTCGATGTTTCAGTGAGTGAGTGCTTGTTGCTATGATGCATCTTTGCTCAGCAGCTTCGCTCGTTGTAAACCAACAAATCAGAGCACAGCTCATCTAAATATTCATGATCATACCATAAAAGGAAGAAAACCTGTCTTTTCATTGTAGGGCTTTTAACCAGGCTTGCGTTAGGGCTCATAGAACAGCTAATATGCCATTTTCAGCCAAACCAATGTTACACACCCTATCCAGAGACCTTAAGGACCAGATACCCTATGGAATGATTCTATGACCCATTTAAAGCCAGCCACATTTTTCAGAATATTTTTTTTTGTTTGTTTATTTATATTCAACATCCTCTTCACGGCTATGCGCCACTCTATGTTGGTGCGTCAGATTGTCAATGATGTTACAGAGGAAAACTAGTGTGTAATTGGTCCAATGACTCACCTGCTTTCCTTGAGAAAGGATTGACCCCAGCAGGGGAGAGGGAGGGGGGAAATGTGCCGGGACGAGGAGGGTGGTGGCTGACGGGTGGGAGCGGGTCCTAGGAGGTTAGAAATGAACACCCCAACTTAAGCCTGATTAAAAAACAGATGAAATCCATTCTTTTCCTCATCTGTAGAAATCTCACCGTCTGAGCTGGAATGTCGTTCTCTCTAGTTTCCTTTTGGGCTTCTTTTGGCTTCGATTTGAACCAGCCGCTGAACCACCCGGTTTTTGCGCTCTATAAACACAGAACAAATATTTCATCCATGTCACATACTGGCAGTATTTTAAAAACTATCTAACTTCCGTCATACCTGTTTAGGAGCCTCTTTGGGCCCCTCAGACTCCTCTGAGGGGCCAGTGATAACCCGCTGGCTTTGATCGTGACTGGTGTTAACCTCAAGCATCTGATTGTTCATGTCCTAATAAAACCAAAGAGCCATTTGAATTTAAAAATGATTATTTATTTTTTTTTGCTTTTAAATGTAAACGTTCTCTCACCGTCCCCGGCTCAGAAGACGTGTCTGCCTCTGTTGGAGGAATGAAAACAAAGTCGTTGAGCAGAGCCAGCGACTTACAGGACGGAGTAAATATCAGAACAGCGACAGGAATGAATGATGTTTGGCAGGAGCTCCTCACCAGCAGCTGCCAATGAAAGATTACTCAGAGCACAATGTGGCGGGGAACTTCTGACTTCAACACCATCCGTGTAATGATTGCTGATATTTTGGCTCATGGGCACAGTGGGAGTTTCAGCCACCATTGTTGGCATGAAAGGAGTATTGGCATGCGGCCTTGATAGAGAGAGAGTTAGAGCATAACAGAGCCGGTCAGGACTGGGCGCAACCTTTGGGATTTACAGTCTAATGTTGAAAACTGCAGTGTTTACCTGTGCTGTGTTTGTGTGTTAGTGTTCGACATCAACAACAGTTCCCCCGTTTCCTCTCCTGTCCCGTGGATCATAGGGTCCTGTTGCTCAGAGCCTCTAAAATAAAGGAGCTCAGGCTCTGGATCCTCTTTATGACAACTTAAATCATCCAGGTCAGATTCTACACAGATGGATAAATAGATGTTTATACCAAATATCAATGCAATAACTAGATTTTTCCAGACTCAAAATCAATCTTTTCTTTTCTTACTGTAAGATAATCAGAAAATGATTCCTGTTTTAGGGCAATATGGATTACAAAAACAAATTCTGTTTGCTTCAAGGTATAGAGGATGATCTTTTATTTTCAGGTGGATCATCTAAATAAGTGGTCCTCCTAATTGCCAATCATTCTGGTGAGATGTTTACATAAGGTAACATAGCTAGGGTCGTAAGAGAAAACGTGCATGAGAAGAAAAGAAAGGCCTTAGAAGAGGCAGATTTATCCCAGAATGCTTTGTGCACAGAGCTCTGCTTGCAAAGCACTATGGGATTCGCTGTCACAGTGGCCCACTGTCGCCATAGGCTGTCGCTACCCGACAGCGGCGAGTTATAACAAAGACGGTGGAGAAGGAGTTACGTGACCATCGGGGCAAAAAGTAGTGATCATCTGTCTGAGCGGTCAGTTAACTGAGTTCACTATAAAGTCCACTATATAGAAAAAGGCAAAAACTTGTGTGAGCAATGAGAACAGCACATAGGCATGCACGAGGAGAAATTGGCTCGTGCACGCTCTTGCACAAGCATTTTTTTTCTTAAGTGTAGAGGGTGGGTCTTCCACAATACCTTTAAGGACACAATAATTTAAAAAAAAATGTTTTACTACAATCTTTAAATTTAGAAGTCCAAATAAACTCAGATTTATCTCTGTAAACAATTTGGTAAATTCCAGATGACGATGATGTCATGGCTTCTTATGCTCCTAATTGGCTACTTCTAAACAATCTGAGGTTAAATATGTTGGTGAAGATTCTCAGTCATCCAGGTCATAGTCATTCTGAAAAAGTTTAAAAAACAATCCACTGGACTTTGTTTCCAAGGTTGAAGACGTTTCGCTTCCCATCCAGGAAGCTTTCTCAATTCAATTTGTCGTTAAAGGGGGGATTGTCACCTGTAATACCTGAAACCTGTCAAGGTGACAATCCCCCCCTTTAACGACCGACCCTCAGAATCATAGACAGGTTTCAGATATTACAGGCTAACAATGGAACCAAACGACCCACTGATCAGGTTTACTTTGCATGTTTCCAAGCAATACAAGGCCTTGTTTTTGGTCCACTATATAAAGCCTCAAACTCAATGCGAATCCAGACATTTTGAATTAAGAAAGCTTCCTGGATGGGAAGCGAAACGTCTTCAAACCTTGGAAACAAAGTCCAGTGGATTGTTTTTAAAACTTTTTCAGAAATCTAAAGTTAAACTAAGTAGTGACGGAAAGTTTATCTCTTTTCTTTTGGCGGCTCTTTTTTGTTATCTTATTTTAGCCTAATTTAGCAAATATGAATGTTTTTGTTAATAAACCATTTTGCATCCAGTGTTTTTATGGGAAGCGTCATATTTGCCAAATTTTATGTATTTGTTCAATTACAAAAGAGTTTTGGTTTTTGTGATATTTTATTCCAAATGAACAATTCACTACAAACAAATCCACTGAGGCGTCTTCTCCCCCTCTCTGCAAAATGGTATCGTATATCCACACGTGATTGGCCAGAAGTCTGCCATGCCCTCAGTCAAAATAAAGTTCGCTAAGAGGTTTAATAGCTGACACTTGTTATGAGCATGACCCATCACTAAAACTACGGCACAGCAGCGAAACCAGAGAACAGTTTAAACACCTCTTCAGTAAATGAGATTAAAGGAATAGTACACCCAAAACATGATTAGCCTTCATTTTCTACTCACCCCCATGCTGAACAACACTCTGGAGTACTTTTTTGATATCTCAAATGCATCTGGAGATCTGGGAGGCTTCTTGCTGTCTGCTGACATTCAAATAATGGAGGTCTATGGCGCCCGAGGCAGAAAGGTCCATAAAAGTCCACAAAAAACGTGTCAATATTCCTCCATACTGCTCGTCCAATGTATTCCAAGTGTCCTGAGTGGGTAGCATCCAGAATTTACTCGAAACAAAGTCATTTAGAATGTTTTTAGAGCATAAACAGTAGTGTATAGGATTTCCTGAAAGCGCGCACGCGCGCGTTCACGATGCTACGGAAGCCGGCAGACCAAACCAGATGAAAGTGTGCATTCAGCGTCTGCTCTGCCAATAATGCAAGCGTAGAAGAAGAAATGTGCTGTTTACCTGTGCAAAGAAAGAAACAAGGAAAGAAAAATGTCTGAGGACTTCAGTGTTGAGGAAGAGCATGAGTTCTTTGCTGAGCTGAATGCGCACTTTCATCTGGGTTGGTCTGCCGCGGTTTCCGTAGCGTCGTGAACGCGCTTTCAGGAAATCCTATACACTACTGTTTATGCTCTAAAAACATTCTAAATGACTTCGTTTCGAGTAAATTCTGGATGCTACCCACTCAGGACACTTGGAATACATTGGACGAGCAGTATGGAGGAATATTGACACGTTTTTTGTGGACTTTTATGGACCTTTCTGCCTCGGGCACCATAGACCTCCATTATTTGAATGTCAGCAGACAGCAAGAAGCCTCCCAGATCTCCAGATGCATTTGAGATATCAAAAAAGTACTCCAGAGTGTTGTTCAGCATGGGGGTGAGTAGAAAATGAAGGCTAATCATGTTTTGGGTGTACTATTCCTTTAAGGAAGAAAACATATTTTTTTAAATATTATGAAAATCATACATGTACCTTGAAATAAGTAGTATAACATTTATTAATCATAATTCATATTAATATACCATTAAATTGTAAAACGCACTATTTATTAATTAAAAATACAATCTGAATGATGAATGAAATGAATGAATTAATATATTGACTTCACTTTATGCTTCAATGGTCATTTTATGTGCTTTTAGGGGGTCTCCAGTCTGCCTTATTGTTATTTTTGGGGTCACATGCTGAAATGTAAGGGAACCCCTGATCTAAGAGTCTTCTTTGCAATTAAATTTAAGGATGTTAGGATAATTATATTTGTATGAGTTTATTACACTTTAACATTAGTTGCCTGTTGCGTGTCAGAACTGATGTTTGCCCAGTAGTTTATCTAATTAGGCCAGTTCCTTGGTGTGGCCATATACAGTTATAATCTTTATTCTTTACATGGCAAGGTTTGGGAATGGAATGAGAGCGGCGTCCTTCAGCTAAGAACAAAGTGTAATATTTTGATACAGCTGAAGCCATGGATCTGCAAACATTTATGATGTAAAAAGTGATGATGTGGCAGATTTGAGATGTATAAAATGCTTCTTTAACTGTGACTCGTGGCCACTTCCCTTTAAATGAGCACAGTTGGTCAGCAGCTGCCTTCTGTAACTATAAGCAACTTCTCTGATCTGAGTTAGATTACATTTTCTATTAAAATCTGTTGTCATGTCTCATGGTTATGTAATACATATACATTATGAGGTGCTATTTAAAGAGTTTGTCCCGAGTGATTTCTTTTTTAGGAAAACTATCCGGTAACACAGAGCTTTCCTTTAACAGAACAATTGCTCTGTTAAAGCAACACAATTGAATTTAAACAGCATTGATGTATAAATATATGCATAGCTTTATTTGCAGGAGCCTTGCGAGAATCTGGTCTGGCTTATATCAATGTTGTTCTTTGAATTTTCCAGTTGGTTCAATGTGATCAGTATAGGTTGACCCTGAACTGTATTCAACACCTTTCAGTTTTCAGGACCCCCCTCCTCCTCAGTGCTGATTGGTTTCTGCCTGGTCACCCCTATGAAAACTCTGCAATCACAACTGCCTAAAACAGGAAGTCTTTAGCCTGTTTCAACTCAAACTTTATTTATAAAGCACATTTAAAACAACCGGGGTTGACCAAAGTGCTGTACAGGAAACACAGTTAAGGAACATAAGTTAAAAACTGAAGGCTAAAACACATAAACACATGAAAATGGAAAATATTTCAATTAAAATACATGTTGTGGCCATTTATGCTAAATTTTTGTAATTTGTTATTTTTACAAATTTAGTTTTTGTCTTTTGGTATATAAAATATATTTAAGATAATTTAGAACCAAAATGTGTTATTTATTTTTTACATTTGGAATAGTTTGGAGTAAGTTCTTAATTGTTTGACCCTCCCATTAATTTGAGTGATTAGGAGCACACCAGGTGTTGGAGGATGTTTGGTAAATGCCTAGGGTGGACGGGAGGTTTTGAAAAATGATTTTTTTTGTACCACTTTTTTGGAAGCTTAAAACATTAAATTTCATTTCTACTAAGTGCCAAGACACTTGAAGTATTTTTTTTATATTTTTTATTTTTGCTTTTTAAGCCAAGCTGGAAGTGTGTACAAAAACAAAATCACCTGTTACCACCCACGGCCTTCATTGGAAACTTTGGTATTTTATTTTTGTTGGAACAGAAGGCCGCGACAATACATTTTAGAATAAAATAACATTTAAAATAAAATAAAATTTTGCCCAATGTCCACTTAGAAATGATTTAAAAAAAATGTGATTTTAAAAAGGATTTAAAAACCTCAAAGGAGCCTGCTGATCTAATCTGCCAAGGCAAGTTATTCCAGAGTCTCGGTGCCATAAAGGCACGATCACCTTTGGTTTTAAGTCTGGTTTTAGGCATCGCCAGTAGCAGCTGATTAGAGGATCTCAGTGTTCTGGCCGGGGCGTGAATTTGGAGAAGCTCAGTCAAATATTGGGGGGCTAGACCATTAAGAGCTTTAAAAACAAACAATAAAATTTTAACATCTATCCTAAAAAATCACCCGGTAGCCAGTGCAATGAGGCTAGAACAGGTGATATGTGGTCGCGTTTACGTGTGCCAGTAAGGAGACGGGCAGCTGCATTTTGTACCAACTGCAGACGGTGTAAAAGTGAGTGGTCCAAGCCAGCATATAAAGAGTTACAGTAATCCAATCTTGTATTAATAAAAGCATGGATTACAGTCTCCAGATCTTTTTGGGGCAGGTACCCTGTTTCAGTATCAGAGCATGAAAAAAACCCAAAACGGGTAGAAAACCCGTCAGGCAGTGTGTGAAGGACAATTACCTGGGTACAGCTGGCAGTCATCATGGGCCGAAACATGGCTCTGTGGAGCTACGTGGTTTATATCACTTTGGTCATAAATCCCCATCTGAAATCAATAAAAGATGTAAACATCAAACTAGTTTTGCATCTTAAACATTTAAAAGACGGTAAAGCTTTAATAGAAGTATTTTAGCAGCTCTTTAAAGCTGTAATGGGAGGAATGTCCGCCTCATAGCAAACCCTAAACATTATACCGCAAACAGTGTTTGGCTTGTGGGGTACATTAGGTCAGCATGAGAGACATTTATAGCAATGTGTGTGTGTCGGTGTGTTTAAGGCATCTGATCATAAAACTGCGACTGCTCAGATTGTAAATTTTATCTGACGCTAAAAAAAAAATCTGTCGGCGTATCATTCATCCTATCCTGACTACAGGGAATCTCAAAACATAATTCCTTGGCCGGCCATCCAATATGTGGAGACAGCTAAGTCACTTGGTGTCATGAACCAGTGGTTCCCAAACCTGCTACCGCATGTTTTAGGTGTCCCCTTGGTGCAACACACCTGGTGTATATTAACAGGTGATTAACAAGCTTCTGCAGCACCTAAAGGCATGCAGAAGAGGAGCAATCATTTAAACCAGTCATACTGGAACAGAGACACATCTAAGGCCCCTTTCAATGCTTGCACCACTGCACCCTACGGTCCTTGGGTTGAAGTGCAGATGAGGGCTGGAAGCTGCAGGATCCAGGCATGCAAACTTTGGAATCTTGGGAAAGTGAGTTGTTAAGCTTGTGCAATGTAACAGAGATGTTGAAAATGACGGAACTCGTCCCTGGTGTTACAGCCTCACTTTAGGCTAACGATGGAACCAAACGACCCATTCATCGGTTACCATTTGCATGTTTCCAAGCGATACAAGGCCTTGTCTATATAAGACTCAAACTCACTGCGGATCCAGACATTTGAATTGAGAAAGCTTCCTGGAGAGGTGGCGAAACGTCTTCAAATCTTGGAAACCAAGTCCAGTGGATATTTTTTGAATTTTTACGGAAATTCTATGAAAAATAGGGATGCACAATGTAATCGGCCCCCTATCGGTATCGGCCTTAAAACTGAATATCGAACATCGGCCACCCCACCGATATTTAACCCGATATTTGATCAGCTTCTGAGTTTCTAAAGTCTAAAAAAAAAAAAAATACTACTTCTTCTTCTTCCTCAAAAACTTCTTTTTTACAGACTTAAAAACTTCTAAAGACGAGGGAAAAAATATTGATACATTAAAATATCACAATATCTTCATATGCTGATATATTGCCATTTAAAAACACCATATCAATCTCTTTTACTAATGAAATATTGCTATATGTCATCGTTATGCTACGAAATCCCCCTAAAATCTACAAAATTTTGCCATATTTTTATATGTTGATATATTGACGCGGTATCGATCTATTTTACTAACAAAATCTCACAAGAATTTGCAAAATATCACGAGAGTTTGTAACAGAACGATGAAATTTCACGAGATTTTGAAAGTAAAATAGATCGATACCGCGTTTTTAAAAATCAATTTGATATCAGCATATGAAAATATATTTGAGTATATTATTTTTCAAAGTGTCAGAAATGGATAACAAAACTGCTATTTTCAATGACTACTTATTTCTGTCCAGCTTTAACATCAGTATCGATATCGGTTATCGGCTACATGAGTTTTAAAATATCGGCATATCGGATATCGGCCAAAATCCCAATATCGCGCATCCCTAATAAAAAAGAAATCTTGTATTCCTATACAGTACAGTAAAATATGAATTATTTTGATAACTACACCTCCCAGATAGCAAATTATTAGAAATTCAACTTTAAAATACGGAAATACAGAAATACTAAATCCATGTTTAAACCGGACAATGAAATTATAAAAATAACTTAGATGCTGAATCAACATTTTCAACCGTAACTAATTCTATATCAATGTGGATTCAGCTGTTATCTACTTGGATATACATGAACTTTTGTGCTGATTTTATATCTTATCAAAATTTGGAAATCTGTATTGATTTGTGTGCATTTGACATTGAAATGTTTAACTTTCTAAAGACAATATAAAACCTAATAGAAAAGTTTAGTTTTCTGCAAATGAGTTTCTGCTTACAGGTCTACATTATAACATAAAACTCGGTGTATAACACCTTATCTTATCAAGATCAATTTTTTGTCTCTTTATAGGCAGGACTTTGCACCTTAAATGCATTTTAGGGAAGAACATTATAAATATTGTGGGAAAAAATACCTTAAAAAAAATTACTTCTTCATCTGTTTAGGATCTAAACGGTACCCTAGATTCTGCCCTATTATTATTAACAAAACCCAGACAAGGACAAGATAGAAAAAAAAATGTGTTTGGTAGAATACTCTGGCTCAATTAAACCGTCAGCATAAATAAAAAAAGCATTCATAAGTCCTACATCGAACATCCTGTGATCTTGGATCAAAGCCGTAGCTTTGGTCAGCATGGTGTGAAACGACCGGAAAGAGGAAGCTGATCACCTGTAAGCGCTGGTGTCGTGTCCGAAGCTGTTTGAGCCACTCTGGTTCCTGTGCTGCTCCTCCAAACACGGCTTCACCATACTGACCCTCTGAGAACCTGAGTCTGTCTGACAGCTGCAGCAAGGAGAAATACATACAGCATGTATAGAAGCTAAACCTCGATAAGACAGGTCTGACGATCAAATCGTGTGCATGTGTACCTTAATAACCTGCTCTGTCAGCGCATAGTGCGGCTCCGTCTGCCTGAGGACGGCCTGCCCTACCACCTCGCAGTAATGGAAGGCCTGGGACCAAAGCCCACAGTCCAGCAGCCGACTGGCATACAGCAGCTTATACACCTGAGCACCGAGCAGAGAGCCTCAGCTTTCAACAATTCAAATCTTTCAGCTGAAAGCAGGTCTGAATTACCTGAAAGGATGGGATTGAAAAGGATTTTCCTCCAAGTGTCTGACAGTACTCGTATAACTCGGTACACTGGATGGCCGAATTTGAAGCAAAGTTTCCAAAACACTGCCTGGAAGAGACGGAAGAAGCTTGTAATGAAACTCAAGGTGAAATAAAAAGTAATCACCATTTAGACCAACATGTTTTAGTATTTTACAATGAAAAAAGAATTTAAACTACAGTAAACTTGCAAAGAAATGAACAGAACATTGAACTATGACAGCAGAGAGAGATAACAGACGAGCTGACCAGGATAAAATCTGGACCGACAAAAGCGTTAATTCCAGGAATCAGGAAAAAAAAAAGCATATTGATATGCAAAAGTCTTCAGGGACCTTTTTCACTTTGGAATTACAAATTTGGTAAACACAATATAAAATAACAATCTTTAGTGTTATTTTATAACCTGACTCCGCCAGATGGATTTGCTCCGCATATCCATCTGTAAACCCTCCGTTGAAGTAATTTTGGGAAAGGGCGAAAATACTGGTTAGCTGATTGGCCTATGTTGGTGATAGACGGGCCAAATAAACCAATCAGATCAACGAAGCATATGACGTACTAACAGAGCGACGACAAAAACACAACCACAAGCCAGGCTTCTCTTGCCGAAACCAGTCGGGAGAAGAGCAAAAACATCTTTTCCTCTGAGAAAAGCCTCCAGAGCAGTGTTTTGCTCTTCTTTCAGTGAAGAAATACTCTGTAATTCCGATAAAACTTGCTCGATAGCCACGCTAACGCTAGCTTCATCGACTGAAGCCGCCATGTTCTTTAGACTGAACTGTCGCGCTTCTCATTGCGTCACACCTCAACCCGCCTCAAAGCCAACGCTGATTGGACGTTCGTTTGGTGAACGGCTCCAAATTTTCTTTAACGGAAAGTAGCCAGACTGATCTTAGAGTGAAACCTTGACAGCTCGCGAGATCAGGATGGTCTCACGAAGCTAGTTATTTTAAGCCCACCAGAAAAAACTGAGACCCAGTTATCAGTGCAAAGACATACAATCAATCAAAGACAATCAATCAAAGACAAACCAACACCACACTTAAGAAAAAAGCTTAAAGTATATTCCTTTAACTTCTCAGTTCTGCCAGTTCATCAAAGCATTTCACCGCAAAAATTTAATTCTGATGTATTTTTTGGTTAGAAGTATCAAAACATAACTGAATTATTTTCTTCCAACTCGTTTAAAGCAGAACATTTCTAAATCAGATAGATGTGGGGACGCTTTGGCCCTAATGAGTAACAGTAGATCAAAAGCAAGCCTGACCTGTGGCTGCTGCCAAGAAGCACGAGTCTCTCTGCCTTCTGTGGAAACACCCCGAAGGAAGCGCCGGCTGTCAGGTAACACACATGTGCCGCATGTATCAGGCCCCTGGAAGCTGCAGGGAGAAGAGCGTCACCAGGTATCAGTGTGTGTTTGACCAGCTGTCAGTCAGTCAGTGCTTCTGTACCGAGAGAGTCTCCCATGGTGAGGATGGCCTTCTGCTGTACGGCGGGATCTCCCGTCTCATTGGAGAGCATCACAGCCAGATGGGGCCTCCAGTCACCCCACTTTTCATTTCCACAGCACTGGTAAGCAAACATCATCATTATTAGTCCTATTGGGCTTGGTGAAGTGCTCACTAGTTCAATGCACTTTACCATAGATGCAGCTGGGATTCTCCCAGACAGGAGCTGGAACAGAGTCTGGAGGGGATCACTGGCTACTAGCTGGCTGGTAAACCTGTTAACAGAGCAGTTTGTGTCATTTCATCAGAGATGGCAAAAGTACTCACTTTCCGTACTTGAGTAAAAGTACAGATACTTGTGTTAAAAAATTCTCTGGTAAAAGTGGAAGTACTGATTAAACTTCTTTACTCAAGTAAAAGTAACAAAGTACAGGCTTGCAAATTTACTTAAAGTATAAAAGTAAAAGTAGAAACCACTTTTTTCATGCCGTTGCCTACATTTTAAATGGATGTCTGCCAATAGGACTAGATCTCCGTTGTGTTCATTTTCAATCATCTCGTCGTCCATGCTACTATGCTAACGCCACCGCCACCAAGCTGCAATGATTTGCCGCGAATGAATACCGCCGAATCTGTCGATTCATCTTGTAGTGGTGCTTCAAATGCAACGTAGATTCCCATCCAATTAGATTGAATTTGGTATTGATGACGTGAAAAATAATAACGGTAACTCCATTGAAATGATTCAAAACTAAAGTAACGAGCCAATTTTTTAAAATACATTTTAAAAAATTGGCTCGTTACTTTAGTAGGAGGAGTAGAAAGTAGGAGTAGAAAGTACAGATATTTGTGTAAAAATGTAAGGAGTAGAAGTAAAAAGTCGCCATAAAAATAAGTAGTAAAGTAAAGTAAAAATATCAGAAAAATCTACTTGAGTACAGTAACGAAGTATTTGTACTTCGTTACTTCCCATCTCTGCATTTCATGGGTAGCAGCAGCAATAGCTTCAGTTTATCAGCCTGATGCACAAATTGACCCATTAGAACAGCAACCATTCTACGTGAGTTAAAGGTATTAGCTAAAAGTTTTACCCCTCCAGGCCAGTACGTAACGTTCTCACCTGCTCTCAATCCGTGCTGTTTACCAGATGGTTGCCAGGTCAACTAATGCTAAGCAAATTGCTTCCTAATCTCAGCAGGAAGTCTCAAAAGCTTGACCAATGTTCACCCTCTTTTAGCTACCATATTTTCTGGACTGTAGAGCACACCTCAGTATAAACCGCACCCACAATATATATATTTTTTTTTCAACCTGGAAACATATCGATATAAGCCGCACCAGTAGCCTAGTAAAGTAGCCCCACCCGTCAGCGGCTTAAATAATTTTTCCCTGAAAGTGGTCTAGCCTCGATCAATGCCCCAGGCCTTAAAACTAGCGGGCCAATCACAACGCTGAGATGTATTTTGAATTTTTGGATGCAAAGTGGGGTTTTGAGGGTGTCACAACAAGCTGCGCTGGAGAAAGCACAATAAGTAAGATGGCAACAACTATTGAACAGTTCTCGTTTGACTCGGCTTTGGAATCAGTTCTGGAAGGATTAGACTTGGGTTTTCGTTGAAACGTGAGCAGGGAGAGGCTCTACGCTCATTCATTTTTAAGAAGGACGTATTCACCGTTTTACCAACAGGCTGGTTGTTGCTTTCTGTCGCGCTTACTACGTCACAATCAGTTGCGCTCATTGGTCAGAGCGTTGGCGTTGGTTTGAAAAACAACGGGTTGTTCTCATCAAAAATCTTCCGATGTCTCATTCATCAGGGCCAGACTAAATTACACATTTAATCTCACATTTAGTCTGGCTATCGCACCAGGCTATAAACCACTGATATCTACTGAACTGTCCCCCACCAAACCTGTAGGGGGAGCTCTACATATCACCCTGAATAAGAATGCTAGCCGCATTGTTTAAAGTAGGGGTCACTAACGCGGTCCCCGCGGGCACCAAGGGGCCCTCAAGGACCACATGGGGTGCCCTCAGCGCCTTCTGAAAACAGCAACTCAGCAGTGGGCTAAGTTTGAGATTCTATTTTATTCTGTGACTATTCTTTTTAATCATTTATAGAGCATTTCATCATAGTAATCATATAGGGCATTTTAGCATTTATAGAGATTTTAAAATTATAATGTTTAAAGGAAAATTAGAAATTAAAAGTTAACAATAAAAATGTGTTTAATTTGGATGACGTTTAGCTGAACGTTGACCCCTCTTGTTCATAGGTCAGTATTGGTAGCCCTTCCTATGATTAAATAGCCATGAAGTAGCCCTCAGCCTTGAAATGGTTGGTGACCCCTGGTTTAAAGCGTGGGGAAAAAAGTAGCGACTTATAGTCCAGAAAATACGGTACTTTTTTTTCCTCTCCCTTGAATTTCAGAAATTTAACAGCATAAGAAGTCATTTCTCAGCTCTATCAGTTACTAGGCTTTCACCTGAGCTTCATCTCACATGACTTCAACCTACCATTATTATTGGTGCAGAATCCTTTTGTGTCGAGTCGACATTGGCATTGCAACCGGTAGTAAATATTAAGATATTTTGGACCCGCCAAATGAAAAAAATTATTTTTATCTTAAATGTTTTTTCTCCTAAATTCTTACTTTTAAACATCCTATGTATGTATATATTTGTTTTATGTATGCATGTATTTTATTTTGATGAAAACTATGACCTTTAATACCGCGTACTCTGACGGCTCACGCAGGTTCTGCCTCTCTTGTCAGCCATACTGGTTTTCTGACGGCCCTCTAGCCCCACATTCCTCATCTGATGACCCACACCTGCTGCCTGCTGACTTCAAAAATAGTCTTAAGAAAACGGACTAGATTACATCAGGAATAGCTGTAAGAACCCACTAGTTAGCTGTAGATTGGAACATTTTTTCAACTTATTATTTTCTGGATTTTCCTAATTGGACGGCACCTCTCTGACTGCTGGGTCGGACCCAGGAGCAGAAACATGACCGAACTCACGACAGGAAACTGCTCATCTTCTACCCTCTGAGTAAATGTTCTGGTGTCCTTTAAAAAGATTAACCCATGATTAAAAAGGAAAGAGGGGGTTTCTTTCTTGACTTACAACTAATGCTCTGAACCCTACCATCTGTTTTGAAGAACTACGTTTACTTTTAAGCATCAAGCTTTAGGGGTTTAAAATTTGCTTTTTCAAAGGAAACATTCATTAAAGCACAGCAGAAACATTAAAAGCTCAGGCACAGAGAAATGTTCTTTTACAAATCAGCACTTGTGCATTTAAATGTAATTTGATTTCAAGATGTATCCCATTTCAAAGGTCTTGGTATTTCTCACCTGCTCAGCACTGTGGTATATGATCTGCTGCCCATTTTGCTGGCCAGAAAAAGTGCGTGCCCCCACAGGCCGCTGGTCATAGCAGACTCCAGGGCCTCCTGCTCACCACAATAGAAACAGTGAGAGAAACACGAAGACCCCGATGCAACATGTAAACCACTGCTGCAGGTCATTTAGATAATTGTGTTGGAAAATATAATATTACTGATAGTGATGTGATGTTGAGTGTTTTGTAATTCAGAACTCTAAACAAACCATTTCTTTGTTGAAAGATGTTAGTGATAACAACATAAACCATTAAAGGACATTGAGCCCATTCATCATCAGGTATGATGGCTAATGAAGGGGACAAAACTACTTATCAAGCATGAGGTTTTCTGAAATACATCAACAAAAAGCCACTGATTTAATTTATATATATATATATATATATATATATATATATATATATATATACAAATATATATATATATATATATATATATATATATATATATATATATATATATATATATATATATATATTTGTATACACTACCGTTCAAAAGTTTGGGGTTATATTTCAAGGAACAGCACTGTACTATTCAATGAAGATAACTTTAAACTAGTCTAAATGCACTCTATACATTGCTAATGTGGTAAATGACTCTTTCCTACGACGGTGTGTAATACTCCCTTCAGAGGACAGCAAAAACAGGCTACTGCGGGTACTATTTACAGAAGATGCCAGTTGGGGACCTGTGAGGCGTCTGTTTCTCAAACTAGAGACTCTAATGTACTTATCTTCTTGCTCAGTTGTGCAACGCGGCCTCCCACTTCTTTTTCTACTCTGGTTAGAACCTATTTGTGCTGTCCTCTGAAGGGAGTACTACACACCGTTGTAGGAAATCTTCAATTTCTTAGCAATTTCTCACATGGAATAGCCTAAGAACAAGAATAGACTGTCGAGTTTCGGATGAAAATTCTTTTTCTGGCCATTTTGAGCGTTTAATTGACCCCACAAATGTGATGCTCCAGACACTCAGTCTGCTCAAAGGAAGGTCAGTTTTGTAGCTTCTGTAACGAGCTAAACTGTTTTCAGATGTGTGAACATGATTGCTCAAGGGTTTTCTAATCTTCAATTAGCCTTCTGAGGCAATGAGCAAACACATTGTACCATTAGAACACTGGAGTGATAGTTGCTGGAAATGGGCCTCTATACACCTATGTAGATATTGCACCAAAAACCAGACATTTGCATTTAGAATAGTCATTTACCACATTAGCAATGTATAGAGTGTATTTCTTTAAAGTTAAAGGAATAGTACACCCAAAACATGATTAGCCTTCATTTTCTACTCACCCCCATGCTGAACAACACTCTGGAGTACTTTTTTGATATCTCAAATGCATCTGGAGATCTGGGAGGCTTCTTGCTGTCTGCTGACATTCAAATAATGGAGGTCTATGGCGCCCGAGGCAGAAAGGTCCATAAAAGTCCACAAAAAACGTGTCAATATTCCTCCATACTGCTCGTCCAATGTATTCCAAGTGTCCTGAGTGGGTAGTGTCCATAATTTAATCGAAACGAAGTCATTTAGAATGTTTTTAGAGCATAAACAGTAGTGTATAGGATTTCCTAAAAGCGCATTCACGAGTCTACGGAAACCGCGGCAGACCACACCAGATGAAAGTGAGCATTCAGCGTCTGCTCTGCCGATAATGCAAGCGTAGAAGAAGAAATGTGCTGTTTACCTGTGCAAAGAAAGAAACAACGAAAGAAAAATGTCTGAGGACTTCAATGTTGAGGAAGAGCATGAGTTCTTTGCTGAGCTGAATGCGCACTTTCATCTGGTTTGGTCTGCCGCGGTTTCCGTAGACTCGTGAACGCGCTTTCAGGAAATCCTATACACTACTGTTTATGCTCTAAAAACATTCTAAATTACTTCGTTTCGAGTAAATTATGGATGCTACCCACTCAGGACACTTGGAATACATTGGACGAGCAGTATGGAGGAATATTGACACGTTTTTTGTGGACTTTTATGGACCTTTCTGCCTCGGGCGCCATAGACCTCCATTATTTGAATGTCAGCAGACAGCAAGAAGCCTCCCAGATCTCCAGATGCATTTGAGATATCAAAAAAGTACTCCAGAGTGTTGTTCAGCATGGGGGCGAGTAGAAAATGAAGGCTAATCATGTTTTGGGTGTACTACTCCTTTAAGGTCCTGCTTGATTTAAACTAGTTTTGCTTTACAAAGCGTGCAGGCCAGACCTAATCACCTCTGAAAACTGAGAGCAAGATACAGACAAAGAGGACGTTAACCACATACTACTGCGATCCTCTCCTCTTAATATTTAAAACACATTTAAATAAAAATGTGAGTAAAAAGCAGCTAAATCCAAACAGACAGGAGGAGGTAAGAAAATGACTGAACCTTCTTCCTTCCAGCCAGCAGTAGCTGAGTGTAACTCAGCAGGGCCTTTTCTGGGCTCTCTCTAGAACTGCTGGGATCTCCTGTGAGAAGATCGTCTCCTCTAGCAGGCGCTGCTGTGGCTACTGGGTGCTCATCAAAGTCAATGAGTGTGGGAACATCAGGCTTCCAGCTTCCATCTGGACGGGAGTCCTGCATCAGGAGCTCAGCAATATCTGAGCCAACGATTTGCTGGAAAGATTAGAATAAAATATCTGATGCTGAGTAAAGGTTCCTATTAACAGCTCAGAATGCTAGTTGGAGGAAATGTCATCTTTGTGTGAAAAAAAATAAATAAAACTGCACAGGATACTTACTCCATTCTGTCTGCAGAGAAGTATCAGTAGGTTCCACAAGAGGGCAGCAGAGCTCCGATCAGGCAGCTTGCCATCTCTCATGCAGGCTCCTGCCTGCTGATGGGCAAACTCTATTGCATCTACTTTATGCAAATCTTCCCTAGAAACACAAAAACGTTTTAAAAGTCAAGAATATGAGAGATTTATTATGATGACAGATTTTATTTCCCAGCTTATTCTTTCATGCTCTTTAACAGCAGGTGACAAAGCAGTACCGAGTTAAAGGTCCAGGAAAGTTTCTCATCTCCTGCTGTTCTGGCGTCTCACTCAGTAGGACCTGAACGGATCGAATGGGAAAGGTTTCGCCTTTTTGTATCTGAACTCAAATCTCTTTCATTTTGAACTTACCTCCAGACTGTGGATTTCCAGCTGACTCAATTTCTCCTGAGCCGGACTGACCCGTATGAGCTGGCCTGCAGGCCCGAAGCTCACCACTGCGTGGGGGGTTGAATACTTCATAGGAGCTGAGATCTGATGAACCGCTGGATGCCCTGGGCAGATCACAGCATGGGTAAGCATGGAGGCAACTGACTGTAAGATTGAGCTTTAATGTTCCACTGACCTCCATCAGTGATGAAAGGAGGCTGAATGTCCGGATCGCAGAGATCAGATCCGTTCATGTACTGACTCAGCTCATAGCTGCTGGAGGACAATCCTGAGGTTTTGGAGCTTTCTAGTGTCCCAGGCCAGTTGGAGGAAATCTCCTCGATGTCTTTATAATCACTGAAGTGATGCTTGGAGTTGTCTCTCCTCTGCTCATACCTGAAATATTAGGAAATTGAATTTAATGGATCCTTTTGATAAATAACACTGTTACTTTAACACCAACAGAGTTGAATATAACTCTGTTTAGATGACATTTGGTCCCATTCCTAATTAGTGTTTCCAGAGTTAAATTTACTCATATTAGTGTCAAAATCAAGAAGAACTGGCGGGTGATTGACTCCATACAGAGTAAAAGTTACACTGTAGAGCTGTCGAATTTTATACTGATTATTATTTACACCTTTGTAAATACTCCATTTAGAGTTAAATTGATTAACTCTGAATTCTTAAAGGAAAAGTCCGGTCAGCAAGGAATAATCAACGGATCATTTTTTATACCTAAAACTATTACATTTTGGGTGATTTAATTAATTTAGCGTTAATTTAGCGTAAGAAAACAAAAACAATATTTTTCTTCACGATCACTGAGACTGGGAGCGGCCATTTTTGACCAAATATAGTAACACCTCACTATACAATTGGCACAATAGAAATAAACTGAATTGAATTGAATTTACTGCCCACCAACAGCTGTGGTGCCAATTGACCAGAGGATGGAGGAGATGAAGAGGAAAGAATACTTTACTCAATCTTTTCATTCACTTTATTTTCAATTTATTTATAACTGGTGTTTGCAACAATATTGTCTCTATTCTTATAAGAAATAAACTTTTTGTTTGCAAATTTATTGTGTGTTATTGTAAATACAAATTATAAGAATTTTATTAAAAAAAAAAAAAAAACACGTGTGCATGTGCTCTAGCTGCGTGGTCAAAAAGTGGGTCTGACGCGCGTTGGGTGGAGCTACTTTATCCTTTCTTTGCCTGTAACAATGGCAGCTATATATATGCTGTGATCAGTGGGTAAAAAGTAGTTTGAACCTATTTTGAAGTGAGAAAATGAGAAAGTCCACCTGACTTCCTCCCGCCTGCATTACGTTAACATAAATAATATCATCATCAATCATTGACCACTTATTTAGATGATCCACCCGGAAATAAAAGGTCGTCCTCTATCTATAACTTTAATGTAAAGAAAGGAAACTAACCTGTGCTCCTCTGAGCTGAGGCTCGCTCCATGGCCCTCAAAATGTGTCCTTTCAGGATACTGACTGGTTTTCCATGAATCATGGACACCCCACTGTGAACCATCTCAATAAGCACAAAAACATAGATGCCATGTTAATAGAAGTAAACCAATCTGATCCCAAGTTTTTGATTAATGTCCCAATCAAGGCTATTTTTCAGGCACATATGAGTTAAGGAGCAGGATCATTTAAAACATACCAGCAAGTCTATGTCATTCTTATTGCATGCAAAGAAGGTGTTTTTAAATGGCAATTTGAAAAAATAAATAAAATGGAATCCAGAAATTCACTTTAAAATAATGTTTTTAATTAAAAAAGAGGTTTAGATCATAGTTTTGCCAATTATCAGAAACTATTTTGTCAGATGTTTTTTGTATTTCTTTCATATTTTATTTTTTCAAATTGTATTAAAAAATGTTTTTACTCATTTATACATTTATGTATTTTGTTTTTCATAGCGACTTTTTTTAATTGCATTCCTTTCAAATTCTGTTTCCCAGATCACAATCTCTCCACTTAAAGCCAATATTAAACACTCACTCCTGACTAATAGAAAGGTGTCTTTGCTCCTCACTCAGAAGTGAAAAGAATGTGATCTATTAAACTTAATCTAAAAAAAATAAAAAGTAAAAATAACATATGAGAAACTGATTTTTCCTTTTTACATATCCATTCAAAAAGCTATTTTTTTGCTTGCAAAAATGATGGAACAAATTAACTCCACAGAGGCAAAAAAAACCTTGTCAGCAGTTGTGGAGTAAAAAATGTTAAGATATGTCTGTTCTTAGCCTCACAGGCTCCAAACGAAGGTGATGAGAGATAAGAATGAGTTACAGTTTCCTTCATGGCATGAAGGAGAGGGTTGTTGTTTTGGGGAGATCCATCTGGCCAGTGAAATATATATTAACCTAACAGGGAACGGCTTTGATTAACTCAAGTTGTTTTGCTTAAATGTTCAAGTGTGAGAAAGTTCTTTATGCAGGGGGTGGGTTGGTTCCCCTGGAGAGGAGTGTGTGTGTTTGGATGTTGTAGATATAAAGTATGTACCGAGGATGCCTCAGTCAGAGCCCTATCTCTCCGTCTGAGGGTGTTAAATAAATTTGAACCTTTTTTCTTGCAACAAATGCCTCCTCCTCATCTTCCTAACTCCACACAGATTTAGCAAAAAGTACAGCTGAGATATTAGGATATTAGGAAATCGCCTTTTCATATATGAAAAGGTATGTTTGATAGGCCGATCCACGTATCGGATCGGACGCCGATATTGGCAAAAAAATGCGTATCGGCAAAGCATGTAAAAATGCCGATCCAGACCGCCGATCCAGTGTAAAAAAAAAAAGTCCGGTCCGTATTTTCCAGTTTCAGCGATTGAAACGATCCATTCCACTATTTTGCGCCAGTGTTCCCCAAATCCGGTCCGCATTTTCCAGAACGCCTTCAACACACCCACAGGTCTTTTTGGGTCTGTCTCCCGGCCTAACCATTAAAACAGGTGAATTGGAAGATAGCGGGAAAATGTCAGCCGTGTGGGATTATTTTATCCTGCACGATGTGTAGATGGAGACTAGGTGTGGAGGAGATTGGGGAGTATAAGGCATTTTTGTGTAACTATTATTTGCACTGATTTTTTTTTTTAAGCAGTGTCTTTTTTCAAGAGTAGAGTCCTGATTCTAAGTTAATAGAATATTTTCCTCTCTTGTCTGTTTTGCATTTTTATTAAAACTTACAGTAATACTTGCACCTTTAACTGTTTACGGTTTTACTGTTCACTGTGCAATTTCAGATTGCTATTCATAATTTTGTCCAGTTTGTGTTTATCTCTTAATAAACAGGTAAGTTTGTTGTTACAAATCATTGTGTTTTATTCAATCTCACCTAATTCAGCTGGCTAGATGTTATCAAGAGTACTAAAACCCTTTTCAAGATGAGTCTTACAACTAAGGCTAAATACTTGAACCTGGATCGGAACATCTCTAATGTTTGAAGTATGTTTTGAATGTACTCCAATCACCTTTAATGTAGTATAACAATCAGTCTAATGAGCTAAAACACCTTTACTAACCACCTACATGGTGTGACCTCACTATGGGCCACTGGGTTAATATCAGGAACATTCAATGCCTTTCTTGGGTTTGTTTTGTGATGATACCTCGCGGTCCATGCTGTCCTCTGTAGTAGTCATGATAGCCGTAGCTGTCCTGGTAATCCCAGTGGTTGTGGGGGGGATATTCATAACCATGCCTGCAGGGAAAATGCAGCTAAATTTTTTTGTTTTTATTCATTACATTTATTTCATTCATTGTGTTCAAACAAAACCACAAAACATATAAACAAACGTTCTAAACTCCTGAATGAAATGGAGCAGAAAGAGGCTTTTGTTATCAGTCCCCTTTACCTGAAGCAAAAACGTAAAAAAAAAAAAACTTAATTTCAAATAATTATCAACAACTCACTTCTTTCTGTCTTATCCACAAAACAATAGGCATTAAAAACCACATAACAAAAGTGACATATGTGACTATCTGATAGCAAATATTTGGTTTATTTTGTGCATACTCTTAAAACAAAAAATAACATTTGACAATTTGCATCACAATCAGGCATAACTAACATATTCACTCAGCGTAGCTGATATAATTCTCCTTTTAAATGTAAATAATGTAATAAATGATTCTTTAGTTCCTTTCTTCAGATCTCTATATAAACTGATTCCTTTCACAGAATGGCTCCATCACTTTCTTTTAAACGTTTCGTCTTTAAAGATCACAGAACATTTTAAATCATAATTGATTTCTCTTTTTTCTTTAATCTTTTCTCAATGTTTTTTGGCAAAATGTTTTTAATATACTTTTAAAAAGGTTTGTAAAATGTGTCTACTGATTCATTATAAGTCAACAATTCTAACAGAAGAAACAGATTTTTTGCCTCTTTATAGTGATTCAACTTCTTATTCTAATGGCTCTTTTTTGTAAAATGAAAATTGATTGAATTAATAATTTCTTCTACACAATAATTCAGAAATAGAATAATCATAGTGTTATGTAAAATGTGCAATGTTTTATTTTCATGTGCCTACTATAGTTTCATTTTTGCAAAAGTTACATCTTAAACTCTCCTCCAACATCCAAAAACTTGATTTATTTCAATACCATCAATATTAAATATAAATCCAACCTTTTTATCCCTATTAATGAATATCATGATTTTTTTTTCTTTTTAAATTCAACCATAATTTGTGTACATTAAACCATTTATTTATTTTCTTGAATTATTTGTTTAAAGCTACAGTGTGTAATAATTACAGGCATATAAATTCAGAAATTTAATATATTATACATAACTATGTTATTTATCATCACCTATGAGCTCAGCCTTTTAACCATAACATTTGCGTTGCCTTAGAATTCGTTATTTATAATTACATAGGAGCGGGTCTCGCAGCCATGGAGGCTGACATCTTTGCGCTACGGCAGCGCAGAGGCAACAAACTAGCGATTGCGAGATCTCCCATGACGCTCGAAAATAACTACGGCAAGTTGAGAGAGATGAACTGAGACGGTACTGAACAGTAGATGGCAGTATTATGCCTGAGAAGCGTTTAGTCTGCCTGAAACCAAAGAAGAAGAAGAAGCAGGTATACTGCGCTTCAGTAACAAGAAAGGTAAACAAGGCGGCAGGCGTGAGTGACTTTGCAAACTGTTTGGCACTGTGTGGCCAAACATCAGACGAATGGAGGATCATGCCTACTCTGTATCACAACGAAAAGCGGCGGACACCGAACCCCCGTCATCTAAGAAGCGGAAACACGACGAGAATAAACGCAAGAGTGACAAGAAACGACAAAAAACACGGATCAACATTGGCACGGCATTTACACGATGGAAGTCACTGATGGAGGAAAAAGGTTTTCAAAGTGACGCTCAAGTTACCAGTTTTCTCTTGGACAGGTAATTAATCCTACACACACAATTGTCTAATATCACTGCAGTTTTTGGAGTACAGGATGCTCAGACCTGTCTAAAACAATAACATGCTGCGTGATGATGCTGTTACTCTCCAGTATACTTATTCAGCAACGTCCCTGACGTTTCACAGGTAATGATTCAGTAATTTTCTGTAAAATAATTTTCTGGATATATACCTCGGTTACTTCTCTCCGGCTCCTTTGGAGATCTTCAAGCCTTTCCTCCTCTGCTCTCACCCCGCTGGCTCCCCTCTCTCGCCTGGCCCCAGCTGCACGCTCACCCCGGCCTCTCTGCCCTCTTCCTTTCCCTCTTCCTTGCCTTGTAACCCCCGTGCCACAAACAAGACTTGGACTCTGTAAACGGGGAATATATATTCTTCCAGCGAACACAATCTCGCTGTTAAACTAATGACTACAATTACTTCGTCTGTTTATATCACCATGCAAAGCAGCTCACCAAAACGTCACAACGACGTAGAAAAAATAACGGGTATATTTATTATCTTAAGTCTACATGAAATCTATACCCTACACAGACTAATGAAATACTATCTGTAAAATTATCTATGTAAACAAACCTCATCACTTGAGAAGGTAGGTGATGCGGACGTCGTGGAAGACATTTTGTCCCGTAACGCTCGCCGTACTGTTGGGGGGGAGAAGCGGTGGGGGGGAGACGTTCATGTTGCTGCAGTCTGCAGTCTGACCGCTAGATGTCGCTGAAAATTACACATTGTAGCTTTAACCGCATTATCCACCTGTGTTTGGTCTTCCCCAGACAAAAATAAGGTTGTATTTTCCGCAAATAGAATTACGGAAGAGGATTAGGGCCACTGAAAAAAAAAAAAAGTAAACTGATTTTTAAATTTTATTTCAGTTTAACATGGGAAAAAGTCAGAATTCTGAGAAAAAAGTCAGAATTCTGACTTTAATCACAGAATTCGGACTTTTTTCTCAGAATTCTGACTTTTTTTTTATTGTCAGAATTCAGTCAGAAATCTGAGATTAATCTCAGAATTCTGACTTTAATCTCACATTTCTGACTGAATTCTGACAATAAAAAAAGACAGAATTCTCAGAAAAAAGTCAGAATTCTGACTTTTTTCCCATACTATACTGAAATAAAATAAAAAAAATCAGTTAACTTTTTTTTTTTTTTTTTCCAGTGGCCCTAATCCTCTTCCGTATAGAATACATTTAAAGGGAACGCCATTTTTTTTTACAATGGGCCCCTGATTTTACGTTATTACATCATGTTCATACACATTCCACTATGTTTAAAAATATATATATAAATATAAAACAGGATTGGCCTACATGTTCTGAATGCTGGTGTACCATAAAGAATAAATGATGAACAGTTTAGTTTGTGCCTTCAACTCGTTGCCCATAGGAAGACGTTACTGGATTTTACCTAACAGAATATCTTCAGAACGGCTCCAAATGACACAAAACTAATATGGGTGAGTAGAACATGATGTAATAACGGAAAATCAAGGGACCAATGTAAAAAAAAAAAAAAAATGGTGTTCCCCTTTTTAAGCAGTTTGGGAGCATAAAGAAAATCATTTATATAAAAATAAATCAACTGTTGAGCCCAATTAAGGGCCGAAACTTGGTGGTACTCCCTTCTCTTTATCATATAATTCTGATTTTAACATCATTTGTACCATTTTCTATGTTCTGAGAAGCTTGAACGCCATTGATATTCTGCTCCTCTTATGTTGTATTTTGCACAGAAGGTGAATAATTAAAATCTGTGCATTTATCACCTGTTTTACACAGTGAAGTCTTACAGAATCCTGCAGAAAGCTGATAAAGATGAAAACTTACTGTTGCTGAATCACCGTATCAATAAGCAAAGTGTGATTGTTTTATCTATAACATTCATACATTATTGTTTACATGCAGTAGCTTGAACAGAACTGACCTGGACTGAGGTCTGTGATGCTCCTGCCATCCATAATTATAGGCATAATCCTGAGAGGTGTATGGAAACAGCTGAGCTCTAGGTGGGCCTGGGAAAGCAGGCATGTAATGGGCATCAGGGCGGCTCCAGTGTGGGCCCCTGTCTCTGGGGTCCGGCGGAGGATACTGCATGTCCCATTCCTGCTGAGCAAACCTGGAGTAATGCTCTTTGTCTTGTTTTCTGTGACTGGGGTCAGGCAGCTGCTGGCCTCTCCGATCCATCTCCAAGGTTAGACTTTAACACCTCAAGTATCCATTAGAATAACACTTTATGTTGGTTTGATTTTTAAAATGGAATTCACCAAAATGATTGTGGGAGTAATGCTGCAATACTCACAGCTCAGAGAAGAAGGCAAAGTGCATGAGCAGCTGCCACATCATTGGTGAGGAAACACACATGAGCTGATAAAGAGTCAGTCTGATAAGAACAGGAGAAAGTTCACACACTGTTACCCAAAAAAGAATCAGCAGTGCCAGAGAAACAAGAGAAGGAGGGAGACAAAGGTTAGATTAAAACAAAGGAAAAAAAAGTTTAGTTTTAGAAAGATAACAGTTTTCAAAGATTTCAGATTATATTTAGATTAATTAGATTAAATGTGGAGAAAATCTCTTCATCCCACTTCCTATCAGTGAGCTGTAGGTAAAAGTGGAGCACGCCCTGACAGCTGCTCCAGCTGTGATCCATCCCCTCTGGATGATTATAAAAATAAGATAAAATCACTCACTGTCTCCATTAGTGTGACTGTTAATCCCAATCCAAGGATTTGTCATGTTTGAGGAAAAAGGCAACTTTGTTCGCTGTGATTGTTGCCACGTTGTCGGTAGTGAGGCTGTTCAGGGAGCAGACACAGTGAGCCGATCTCAGGTCAGCTATAGGGAACATTCAGGGAAATGGGAGATCTGGAAACTGACCTCTAATCAGCTCTGGGACCGACTGCACAGTCGCTTCAACGTGTGTCCACAAGAGGGCGCAAGAGTATAAACTACGAAACTGCAGTGCAGCATAACTGGCTTCATTTTTTATTTTATTTTTTCCGGAATCATATTCCGATTTAAAAAAGGGAATATATCACTGTCTGTGTGTGAGAAAAAAAGAATCTGAAAAAAAAAAAGAATGCAAATAAACTGTATAATCTGCAGCTATGGTTACATTTTGGATGTAGTCATCTTTAATTTTGGTTTTGGTTTGGTTAGTGATAAATATTTGCCTTGTGGGGATATTTTCTGAGTAAAAACAAAATACAACATTTCAATAACCAATAGTCTTAAAATCACAGGTTCTAGACAATCAGGTAATCTCAGATTAACACTTAAGAATTTGGCAATACTCTTAGATTCATTTAAAGGACTTGATCAATATTTGTTTGATTCTAAGTGGTTAGGGCACAGAGCTTGGAATCAGGTTTTTGAGCCCCACTCCCACAGACTGCCACTGTGGGTCTCTGAGCAACAGCCTGAACTCCACACTGCTCCATGGGCGCCGCATGATGGCAGCCCACTGCTCCCCAATGGGATGGCTTAAATGCAGAGGTAAATTTCTCCAATGTGAGATCAATAAAGTTCAATTATTATTATCAATTATTATAATATCAAGGATATAATTGAAAAATGTCATGACCAAAGTCATGACCGAAAGAATGAGATCGCGGATACAAGCGGCCGAAATGGGTTTCCTCCGTAGGGTGGCTGGGCTCTCCCTCAGAGATAGGGTGAGAAGCTCGGTCATCCTGGGAGGACTCAGAGTAGAGCCGCTGCTCCTCCACGTCGAGAGGAGCCAGTTGAGGTGGCTCGGGCATCTGGTTAGGATGCCTCCTGGACGCCTCCCTGGTGAGGTGTTCTGGGCACGTCCCACGGGGGGGAGGCCCCGGGGAAGACCCAGGACACACTGGAGGGACTATGTTTCTAGGCTGGCCTGGGAACGCCTTGGGGTTCCTCCTGAGGGGCTGGAAGAAGTGGCTGAGAAGAGGGAAGCACTCTGGGCCTCCCTTCTTAGGCTGCTGCCCCCGCGACCCGACCCCAGATAAGCGGAGGAAGATGGATGGATGGATGGATGGATGGATGGATGGATGGATGGATGGATGGATGGATGGATAATTGAAAAACAGGCAGATTTGTTTTTGCTTAGTTTTTTCTGGGGGCTGTATGTTTCAGGTAAAACTCAAGGGAATGTCTATTTCTAGATTTCCTCTAATTATGGGATGGAAACACCAAACCACCTTCCATGCAGATTCTGGTGTTGATTAAGCTTTTAGTTGCTAAACAAATAATATAACAGTAAAATTAAACATGCTGAAATAATCTTTTCCCTACTTCCTTTATTACGCACAGTAAATCTGTTTTGATCAGGGCTATTAAATATCTGCAGATAGAAGGAATAATTAGCTAAAGTTCATTATTACAAATAGCCTAATATTTCATATGTTTCATATATTTTTATGATTCAAAATGTAACTGTTGAGAATTTTAAATGAATGCATGAAACTTAGTTTTATCAGTAATCAGGTTCCAGTATATAAAATGTGAAGGGCTTTGTTCTGAATGTGTTGCGGTTCACAAAGGTGTGCCACAAGGATCTGTTTTGAGGCCCTCTCTTATTTATATTGTACATCAACAATGTTGAACAAAATTTATCTCATTAAATATTTACGCTGATGATACCATTATTTATTGCTTTTTTTCTTTTCGTAATGCTGACAAAATAAAATTAATGTTTTCAAATCACAGGAAGGTGCCTCAAACCCTGCCAGCATTGTTCACTCTGGAGGGGAATGTCATTGAGGTGCTACATGAATATAAATACCTTGGAATTTTATTAGATGACTCCCACACCTTCAGACTTTTTATTGATAAACTTGTGAAGAAATTAAAAGTTAAACTGGGCTTCTTCTTTCATGTTTTTATTTTAAAAAAAAAAGCGGAAAAAAGCCTTTAGCTACACAGCTCTTTGTGCATGGAATGTTTATCTTTAAATGCTTTTAAGTTAAAAGCAAAAGAACTTTAATTGTTTTACTTGATATGTTTTTTTATGTACCTGTCATTTAATTTAATGTATCTCTGTTTATTATTTAACTTTGAAAAAGAGGTTTTTAATCTCAATGGTAAATGTTAAATAAAAAATAAATCATCTATAAAATCATCTCTAAATCTATAATTGTATCTATAATCTATAAATTGTTTCTTTGTTTTCACACAATCCCTTGTATGTAGGAACCGGTCCAGGTTGTCTTCTTTAATTTGACCACTGGAGGGCGCTGGATTCACAGAAACACAGGCGCACATGTCTTCTTCGCGGGTCCGGGGATGTACTGGCTGGAAGTCCGGCGGTGTATTTGCATGCTGCCGACCAGCAGCCAATGGGAGTCCTTCATGTTAATGAGTAGTGGGGCTCAGAGGCTGAGTTACTGACAGGGAACACACAGTTCACCGGCAAACAGCGAGCATCCTGGCCGCACCGACAGGAGCTCTCCACCCGCTCTGGACCCTTTAGGACACCGAACCGCCTGGATGTGCAATATGACTTTTGAGGAAACCGGAGGAGAACACTCAGTAGAAAGGTCAGCATCTGAATTTATACTCAGAATAAATATATTTTATTTTGATTTCAGCATTTCTGTTTTTATACGTCGAGTTTTTTCTTATTTGGAGCTTTTTAACGATGTGACTTTGCTCCAACTGTTTGCTACACTAAAGTCAAGCTAGTTAGCATTAGCATCCCAGGCGGCAGTTGCGATCAAATGTGACGTTAAATCGTTAACGGTCCCTTTATAGAAGGGAACAACTTCTGCAAAAACTTTCAATACATTGATCCAAGACCTCCTCTTCCCTGCAGGATGGAATCGGTGGCTGAAGCCTTGGAGGAGGTCCTGAGCTCCGCCTTGCCTCAGGGTTGCATCACTGTCGGAGTGTATGAGGCTGCAAAGTCACTAAACGCGTAAGTCCATCAGATCCTGCGTGCAAAATAATTAAAAAGGTATAAAAACATCAATGATGATCTTCTCACTCCTCTTTTTTTTTTTTCCATTCTAGAGATCCAGACAATGTGGTGCTTTGCCTCCTGGCTACAGATGATGAGGAGGATGTGGCCCTGCAGATCCACTTCACCTTGATCCAGGCATTCTGCTGTGAAAATGACATCAACATCCTGCGAGTGGGCAACATGAGGCGTCTGGCAGAAATCCTGGGCGGAGTGAAGCCCGGAGGGGAGCCCATGGACATGCACTGCATTCTAGTGACTGTAAGTGTTGCTCATGTTGATTCACAGTGCTGTAATATTCATTAGCAGTCTGATTAATCGCTGCAGCTATGTAGCTTTGCCAAGGACTGGGCAGGTTGCAATGTCAGTGTCTGTGTTTTGCAGTGTGATCATTTTATAGCAGCATTAACTCACTATTCTGCTTTGTTTCTGCAGAACCCGCAGGCAGCCCTGTGGAAGGACCCTGCACTGAGCAAAGTAAGCAGATTCTGCAGGGACTGCCGCTGTTTGGATCAGTGGGTGCCAGTCATCAACCTGCCCGACCGATGAAAGCTTTGGATTATCGTCATCTGTAACGTTTGCAAACCGTGGGGGAAATAAAAAAAAAAGCCTGCGTTCATGTCTGTGTTGGACTTAATCTGAAAGCCCCCCCAACCCCTTCCTCAGCAGCCACCCAGAGAGCTAAGGAACAGTTAGGAGAGAAGGGGATGAATTAGAGAAGGTTTCAGCAAATTTCCAGCATCAGGATGAACCGGCAGGTGAAGGAAGAGTGACTCAGCAGTCCGCGTTCTCCGGATTTCCGTATGACTGACGAGAAAGAGTCCTTTCACAAGGAAAAGGGCATCATGTGAGCAGAACGAGCGCACGGCGTGGTGAGCACATGTGCAGCTTCTGAATGGAGAGAGAGGGGGGAGAGCTGACAACACTCCAGGAACTGGACCAAGCAGGGGCGGACATGTCAGCGCTCAGCTTTTTTGGACCTTTCCTGTGAAAACTTCAACCAATAAAAAAAAAAAAAAAATATTACTTTAGAGTTGCATTTATTTAATGCTATTTAAGAATTGTCACTTTAACTTAAGAAAAAGGGAAAGTTTTTTTTTCTCCTGTTGCTGTTAGATTCTTAATGACAACTTGTTCAGAGGTTGGATGTTTTTATGTGTTGTTAATTTAATGGATTTTATTTATTGTGCAAAGTTGGCTGCAGTTGGCCATGTGAAACTGAAAGAAATAAAACCAAACAAACACTTATCCAGTTTGTTCTGTCTCCATGATTTCCAGTAACTGCAGACACTCTTTAAAGGAAGTACCGAGGCGTGCTTTTATGATAGCTTCTGCTCAGCAGAGCTCACTGACCCGGAGGGTTTGGCAGGTTACGCTGCTCCTTTGGCAGGAGTCAAACTTCTGCAGCATGCAGACTTCTGCACGAAAAGGAAAGATCGTTTAAAAGAAGGCAGCAAAGAATCAGATGAGAACAGTCAGAGTTTGTTATTTAGCCGTGCAGAATGCATTTTATGTAAAAACAGCTGAAAGTTTTTCTACCTGGACTGAACATCTTGTCTTGTTTATACTTTGCAAAATGCATAAAGCTCAGACTGGATGGAGAGCTCCAGTTAACATGATCAAGTCTGCAGATTATAAATCTGCACTTTTAACCGTGCCATTCTACATAATTGTCAATGTAAACAATGGGCTCCATGCACAGCTCCACTACTTCCTGAATTTAAGGTAGCTCCTTTGTTTCCTGTCTTTCATTACTGGACGAACTGATTAATCCAGGTGTGTCTGGCCAGTTACTTAGGTCATACACACTTGGATAAATCAGTGCATCCAATCATGAAAGACAGGAAGCAAAGGAGCCTCGTGAAGTTCAGGAAGTGGTGGAGTTGTGCATAGAGCCTATTCTAATCTAAGCTTAAGGTTGTTACTCATCATTCAGCTCCATTTCTCTGTTAAAGATTGAAAAAGTTTTTTTCTCAAAGCAAAGCTATGCATTTTGTTTCTCTATATTAAGTAAGAAAAAAATCTATTAAAAGCTGGAAATCTCCCTATGTGTTGGAATACTTTTTTCACTGGGCTCTAGAAGGAAATGCGGTTAAATTTGTAGGATCAGGCTCATTGTAGCAGCCATCTGCTTTAATGCAATCCAAGCTATATTTACTGCTGACTGGATAAAAATAGCTAGAGGGAAGAAAAAAGAGCAGTTGAAGACCCCTCTCAGGCTGTAAAAAGAGAGAACCAGAAGTTATTAGTGCTTGTGCTCAGAGGGGAGGGACAAAGCTTTCCACACAGAGGGTCATGAGACAATGGCTGCGTGACTCAGGCCTATTCAGGTCTCATATTGCTAGAGCCGTACAGTAGTTTAGCTCAGAGGCTAAAAATAGCCCAGTGAATAGAGGCGGCCCCCTCTGACCACTGACACACTTGCAGCAGAGGGGGACCAGTGATGGTAGCAGAGATGTCAGCTCGCAGCCTGGGATGTCAAGGAGAAACCTGGTGCTGCTCTCACAGATGGTAGGAGAGCAGATTGGGATGAAAAACTGGGTCAAAACACTGAATGTAGGTTAAGAAAGTAGCAAGAGATCTTATGTAGATTTCAGGGTTTCAGTGGGTCAATAAAAATCATTGAAAGTCATTAAATTATTATTTTTTTAATTACCCGTATTTTCACGACAATAAGGCACACCGTACTAAAAGACGCAGTCTCAGTTATGTGCGGCATTGCACCTGACTATAGGGCGCAGGTTTTATATACCGGTACATGTCCTCTACTACGTTTAAATACCTCTACTGCGTATTTAAAAATAGAGCGGGAGCAAAACTGAGTATGATTGTGCTTTATTCATGTATTTATTACAAAGTATTAATCAAACCTGGGAGCTGGCGGTGAGACAGACACATCGCTGATGACACAGAGCGCTGTGATCACTCCTCTGAAACAGTTTATTGACGCCTAAATTAACTTAAAATGCAGAAATCTGCCGGCAGAATATGTTTGCTTTTATTATCCTGGTGCCTGCATTAGATTACTTAGATGAAAAACACCTACCAGCTGCCGCGGTGAACCGCGAGGAGGCGACCCGGCCAGAAAAGGGGGGTATGTGGGGGTCTGAGCGGCCTCCGACAGAAATAATATTGGAAGGCAGGATGGTAATCTGGATGAACTGACTGCAATGATTAAGTTTTCAGGTGGACTTTCTCACTTAAAAACACATTAAAACTACTTTATTCCCACTGATCACAGCAAATATAGCTGCAAGGCAAAGAAAGGATAGAGTAGCTCCGCCCAACGCGCGTGAGACACACTTTTGCACCACGCAGCTGCGCGTCAGAACTAACTGGTACAAGCAACAAAAATGAAGCTGCAGACGCGTGAACGTAGCCTTACTTTGAACGGCCGGTTCAAACCGATGTCGAGCGGTTGAAGTTCCTTTGTCAAACCTCCAGGAATAACAGCAAGCACAGCGTTCATTTGTTTCACCATGTTTTTCACATCGGCTGTGAGATGGGCACGCATGGAGTCACAGATTAACAGCGATGGTGATGCGTGGAAAAAACCACCTGGTCTCCTTACATTCACCTCCCTCAGCCACTCTTTCATCATCTCCTCAATGAGGAAATGAGGAGTTCTGCATAAAGCACATACCTGTTCTTTTATACACAATCCACGCCCACACTTCCCCCTTAAACGTTCTCATGGTGGTCTCAACAACGTCCGCGGTAACAACACACATAGGGCGCACCGCACTATAGGGCGCGCCGCACGTTTTGAGGGGAAAAAAAGTTGTTTATATGCGCCTTATAGTCGTGAAAATACGGTAACGCCTTAATTGGCATTAAAATTCATTAAATTTGATAAGCGTGGCATTAAAATGGCTTTGGAAAAGAAGCTTGAGGCGGACAAAAGGCAAGAGAATGGGGAAAAATATGAACCAAATATGAACCAAAGGGGAGGGAAAACGAGGAACTAGGGACATGGATGCAGCCTGTCCACGGTGAAGATGACCAATTGCCGTGTATATATATATATATATATATATATATATATATATATATATATATATATATATATATATATATATATATATATATATATATATATAATAGGGATGCACGATATAATCAGCCCCCTATCGGTATCGGCCTTAAAACTGAATATCGGACATCGACCACCCAAGACACCCAAGTCTAAAAAAATAAAATAAAATACTACTATATCTTCCTCAAAAACTTCCTTATTACAGACTAAAGACGAGGGAAAAAATATTGATACATTAAAATATCACAATATCTTCATATGCTGATATATTGCCATTTAAAAACACCATATCAATCTCTTTTACTAATGAAATATTGCTATATGTCATCGTTATGCTACGAAATCCCCTGAAAATTCACGAAATGTTGCCATATTTTTATATGTTGATATATTGACGCGGTATCGATCTATTTTACTAACAAAATCTCACAAGAATTTGCAAAATATCACGAGAGTTTGTAACAGAACGATGAAATTTCACCAGATTTTGAAAGTAAAATAGATCGATACCGCGTTTTTAAAAATCAATTTGATATCAGCATATGAAAATATATTTGAGTATATTATTTTTCAAAGTGTCAGAAATGGATAACAAAACTGCTATTTTCAATGACTACTTATTTTGGTCCAGCTTTAACATCGGTATAGATGAGTTTTAAAATATCGGCATATCGGATATCGGCCAAAATCCCAATATCGTGCATCCCTAATATATATATATATATATATATATATATGTATCTGGTTGAACTGTAAAGTGCCTTGAGATGACATGTGTTGCGAATTGGTGCTATAGAAATAAACTGAATTGAATTGAATCATGGGTACTTGTTGATGGCATTAAGATTATTTCTAAGAGCAATAAAATGCAATAAATAATAGTTACTCATTCATGTATAAACCCTGGGTTTGCACATGGTATAAGGTGTAAGATGTTAAATCTGCAGGAATATGTTGGGCGGGGGGGGGGGCATGCAGGGGAAAGTTTGTTTGCATTGTTTCAGTGAAAGCTGACAGGCTGCAGGCATATGATGCTTTTGGTTAGAAGGTCAGGAATAAGACACTTCTGAGGAAATCTGAAAATCTGAAACAAAAATCATGCCAGGAACAAGATCTGTTGACTTGCAGCAAAACACACAAGGCCTTCCTGTAACTCAGAGGCGGGGTGACTAAAAGTAGGCGAGATGCTGGAGATAGTGGATTACTAGCTCACTGGAACATTCACTAATGACTGACTCACCAACACCTCAAAATCAGAGATATTAATCTAAACATCTGATCGGAGTGATGATTACATCGATGTGGGTCACAAAATATGGTTTGACCTGGTTGGGAGTGTAACATCACACCTGAGGAGCTGATGGGGGGGGGGGAGACAGGGCTGCGGAGGATTGCATAACAAGCAGTGCATGGCTCGGGGCACATAAACACTTGGAATGAGAAATTAGAGCAAACATGTTTGTGCGCCTGACCTTGTTAGCTCATCATCCTGTTTGAACACAATGACCTGTGGCTGCGACGGAGGCTCCATGATCACAGCGTAGGAAAAATAACCCCCCCAGGAAAGGCTGGTAAATATATCCCCCTCCTGAAGAAAAACATAGAGCGACGTATGACCAGAAAAGCAGACAAACATGGTCACAGCAGAAGGAGGTGAAAAGTATTTACATGGAATGTTTCCACATTTTGATCAAATTACAGAATCAAACTTCAGTTTCAATATGAGATACAAGAAACACGTCGTAGAGAAGTGAAAGGAAAAGGATGAAAGCTTTGAAGCCTTTAGGGAACGTCTACGCCAGGTTTACACATCTATGAAATGTTTTTCTGTTGCTTAAAAAAAAAAACCTCAAGCTCAGTCAGGTCAGACTGATACAGAAGAGGATTAGGGCCACTGGAAAAAAAAAAAAAGTTTACTGATTTTAAAATTTTATTTCAGTTTACTATGGGAAAAAAAATCAGAATTCTGACTTTTTTTCTCAGAATTCTGACTTTAATCTAAGAATTCTGCCTTTTTATTGTCAGAATTCAGTAAGAATTCTGAGAAAAAAGTGAGAATTCTGAGAATAAAGTCGGAATTCTGACTTTAATCTCAGAATTCTGACTTTAATCTAAGAATTCTGACTTTTTATTGTCAGAATTTAGTAAGAATTCTGAGAAAAAAGTGAGAATTCTGAGAATAAAGTCGGAATTCTGACTTTAATCTCAGAAT